AGATAATACAACGCGTAAAAAATAAATCAAAGAGATATTGAAGGGGACCACACACGTGGAAGAAAAACCTTCGATAATTATTTTCAGTTATTCTCTATTAATATCGTAGACACTATTTTAGAATTTGTATCATTGCGAACGGAGGCTCGTACAAAAAGTGTGTATTGCACATGTTGCTTAATTATTTTGTATAGGCGTTCTCCGCGAGTTACAATTCGTTCGTATTTTCACGCAAGTCCGAGAGCAAGTCTCTTCTCTTTTCTCCTCTCCTCCACCCAAGGGAAGTTCATCCTAGTCCGAGCACACGAAATTACGCGCGTACCACGAGACACAACTGCACACGAGGACGAAGAACACGCACACAGAAACACAATGTGAGTGCAGTGCGTCAGGAAAGTCTCTTTTCTGACGAATTTATCTAGAAACGAGTCACACTGTGCTACTTCGATTTCTTTGGAATATTCACGTACCAAAGAAATGTACATTTGGAGACCTTAAATGAAACTATTTGTCCCTTCTGGCATTTTATTGTTAAGAAAGTTTCATTGATTTTTGTGGATACAGTAAATCATCGATGTGTGTTCGAAAGCTCCTCGGAACTGATAAGGAGAGGTTCCCAGGTGTATCGCTGACTTTTTAATGAGGTTTAACAGAGTGATAGAGCTTGGAATTCTGAAGCCAATCATATTTGCTTTAGCCGCATATGACTATTAGTTTCGGCAAGTATCAGCCGTTTATGAATACCGAAGAACCAAAATGTCGAGGGCCATTCGACGCAACTGATCGTAAATCTGTCCAGTACTCGGATTCCTCTGCTTCCAATTAATGAAGTAAGAACAGCGTTAACATTTTATACTTATCGTTCCTATATTATATCCGCGGTTGGTTGTGCACAGTACGAATCTGAAAATAAATTCCATAGAAAACCGCACATCACGTTTGATCTTCGAAAGCGTCACTGATCTCGACATGGTTCTACTTTATCGATTTGAAACTGGAAAATCAGAGTGCTCGATGGATTTATGAAGATTCTTGTACCGACTCGTTATTAGATATTCTTGCAGAGACTTTTCTAACGCGGTAGAAGAGACTGAGTTTGGTGCTGTTCATTGGCAATCCTCTTTTTTGTTTCCCAAACGTCTCTCGTTTCCTGATTCCTAACCGCGTTCTACATTAAAATTACAAGGTTTCGTCTGGTTTTTTTTTGTTAGGTACAGAGAGAGCGTCACACGCTTTTCCGATGATTGGGCTACATAAATGTTGGTTTTTCTCTTTTTTACTTTTTACAAACAATTACAATCGTTATCAACTTTGCACGGTACATAGACGATAAAGTTTGATACTGGTTTCTAGGCAATATTTCCTGCCTATAGCCACTTCATTATTCTTCCTTAATATATCCAATTATGCTTTACAATAACTTCTTTTTTTCAAGCCACCTCGTACGTCCTATCTAAACAATCGTGAACAAGACCACAGTCATACGGAAGTACCGTTCACAAAGAGACTTTTCCTCTTAAACAATTAGGATAAACTTCTTCTTTTGGTAGAATTTTAATCACGAACAGAACCAAGCCCCGATGTCGAAATAAAGACAGAGTTTGGTACTCTTCGTCGATAATCTTTCTACGATCACTTTCCCTCTTCTTAATTCTCAATTTCACTATCAAATTATACAATTCATACTGTCCATTGTAATTGAAAGTAATTCTGCACACGGCCCGTTATCCGGACACCGAAAACGAAGACACTGAAATGGACCACCAATCGGTCCTGGCAATGAGAAGAACACATAATTTGGTATCAGGTCATCGATAACATATTTCACCTAAATACCAACATTAATACTCAATCGTTACTAATCTTTCCTATTCGGTATCATTCACAGGCAACCCTCTTGGCCCTGAACGTACTTTCGTTCCCCGAATTTCGTCTAAATCTCGCTTTCGCTGTCACAATCACACCGTCGTTTCGGAAACAACCACAAAACCGAACCAAGCTCTGAAAGTGAGCCAACGATCGACAGCATTCAATACTGTGTTCGGTTTACAGAGCTCCGAACCATTCTGTCCGTTTCATTCGGAGAACCTTTCGATGATATATCGTTTCTCTCGACACCAACTCATGAACAGAACCAAACCAGTGGGGCGACCAATGATCTCACGCAACACCACGGCCGAATCGTGTGAAAAAGAAAGACGAGGCTGAAGAAGACGCGACACAGGTCGAGGAGAGGCAAGCAGGTCGATTGAACGGGGGAAGCGTTTAAAGCTGTTATCAAACGATCGCCATAAGAATCGAAATTCACCAGCTCATACCTAGCCGAAACAATTAAAAAATATTGAAACTTATAAGTTTATTCAACTAAAAGCGAATGAACGAAAAAAAGATTTTTCTCGATTTTAGGAATTCTCGATTACGTAATTATTCGCTAACAGTGTTCCCAATATGAGTATGAATTTTTTAGGGAGTTTCTAGAGAATTTTGTTCTATTTTTCTTTTGGTTAAGATTAACAATAAGAAACGTTGCTGAGAAGAAAAATAATGTTTGGAACAAATCTTCCATGGTTAATAACATCGGTCGATGCGACTTCGTTGGAAAATAAAAGACAATTTGCTATTGACCATTCGATCTGTTAAATTTTGATTCTGAGCCACGGTGTGACGCCCTTGAACACGGTCGCCGACCGGGGGCCATTTAGCGAACCGATTTTCACAGACCACGCCTCCACATTTTCATTTGTTTCTTAGTTCGAAACAAGCGTGACATCATCTTGCCCATCGGACTTACCGAATAAAACATACATTTTTCGGACATAGATCACCGGACGTAAATATATTGAAACGAAGCCATTCGATTATTAGAGAGCGAATGTTTATGCAAAATGAATGTTTCGCGAGGTTAAACCACCGAGAGAACCGGGAAACGAAAACGGAGAGAGATTAGTTTACGCGTGTTTTGTAAAACGATTACAAAATAAAATCATTTCTCATATCGATTTCGTTTATTGTTTATCGAGGTTCTGAGGATTTCGGATACACACTATAAATGCACAACATCCGCAGTCTATTAATTATCTATTAGACTATAGAAAAAGGGTAAGTAGAGGATTCCTTCGGTTAAAAATAAAAAAAAAACGAAAACATCATTAAAACCCACAAAGGTGTGTGTGTGTGTGTGTTAGAAACCTAAAGTAAGAAAACAATTTATAGGTTTTAATGAGGTTCGGTAATAAAAGATTTTATTTTCAATTGATTATCCCAGCGCACACACACGGTGAACGTTACAAACACATCCCGCGGTCCGTTTTGCGATGGGTATATTATTATAATATAAACTTTGTATTCCTAATGCGTTTTGTTTTTCTTTCTTTCTTTTTTTTATCAAATCACACGTTAATTCACTGTCATGTTCGTTTACCGGACGTAATATCGTGACGTTGGTCCATGACAAAGAAAAAAAAAAAAAAAAAAAAAAAAAAAAAAAGAACAACATCGGGTCTCGTTGCGAACATCTAAATCGACCCGAATGTAACAGCGACGAGCACGTTTCATCACAATCAAAGTGCACATATTCGTCTCGCCGTTTATTCATTTTCGTGTCTCTCAAGGGTCATCAAGAAAATGTTAAAAAGTCCCCGGATCCGCTGTTGTTCGAGATCCTCGAGAGTTCTCGATGTTCACGAGTTTTTATTTTTTTTCTTCACGGAGCCGCCCGTGAAATCCCCTCACGTTTCGTCCATCCATCGATTTTTCGCGATTTTGTCTATGTACAAATCACGGTTGCAAAATTCTACAATTATTTATACAATCGATCGATCCCGGGCCCCCTGGCAAACACACCTGTCCGCTGGCTTCACGAATCTTAACGAACATGATCGCAACAGCTTTTTCTCTTTCGTACGACATTCGAATTACATTTAAACGTAACAAAAAAAAAAAAAAAAAAAAAGGTCTCTGACTTCATAAACGTTCATAAACGTAACGATCAGTTTGAAATCCTGAGTGATCTCATCCTTTTGCCGATTAAACAAAACTTATATTTTATTTAACAAAAAGAAAACAAGCTCACGATACTGATCTCGATTTCTGCTGGCTCGTGGAACAAAAACGACCTTCTTACGGAAAGACTCGTGTCGTAGCTGTCGACGTGTCAGTTACCGAGAACTCACCCCAAAACGAAACTGTCAGATCCGGCAACAAGGAAAAATAAAAATTCATTTTCCCTCCCTCCCCTCGCTTCTACCTCTAGATCTAACCGAGGATCGTTATCGAGGCTCGAACGCGCCAATTTCAAGCCTCGAATCTCTTCCAATACCAGACAGTTCAGGTTCACCAAGATGGCGACGGTTGCAAGGGCTATCATCGAAGCCGCGTACTGTACACACTCGCGACCTGCCAAGGATCACGGATCATCCGCGTTAATGTTCTTCGTCCAGACACACTATGTGCGTCTGTGCACCCTCTCTATCGAACCGAACCGATCTCCATGGCGATCACCTATTTCGTTCACCGCGGTTGCTCCCCATGCCACTACTGTTCCAGCCTGAGAATCGGTCAACACACAGTCATTCGTATTAAAAATCGACCTGGATACAAGATCGTCCCACTTGATTCCATTATCCTTGAGTTCCACAAGAAGGTCAACCAGGATCTCCCTCGAGACCACAACACAGCTTCTACCGTCCATGGTTGGCGATCGTTCCGATGTTTCGACCCGGTCTGCTTCCCACAGAACACTCCAGAACTCGTGGCATACGTTCGAAGTATCGACCAGTCCAGTGGAGACACCTTCCGCTGGGTTTCGTTCAAGACCCACAGAGGCTTGACGCACATAGATCCGACCCGCAGAGGCCTGACGCATCTAGGTATGGTTCACAGAAGTCTGACGCAGGTAGATCTGACACACAGAGGTCTGGCGCAGACAAATCTGTCCCACACAGGCCTGACGCATCTAGATCTGACGCACATAGATCTGACCCATAGAGGTCTGACTCGCCTAGGTGTGATCCACAGAGGTCTGACTCGCCTAGGTGTGATCCACAGAGGTCTGACGCACCTAGGCCTGACGCACGGAGTGGTTCTCAAGAGGAATCCTTAGATCGATCGGTCCGAATAGATCGTCGTCGACCTGGCTCCTGTCAGGAGATCGATCCCCTGTATAGTGGTGTCGGTTACGAGCTTAAGCGGCCATTGACACACTGGCCCGACACGACACTGTCGACGATGACGGCGTTGTTCCGGATGGTGAAGACGACGACGATAACGACGACGACGTTGACGACGAGCCTGCTATTGCTGGTGTCGTTGATTCACTTGTGGTGCCAGCCTGCTAGCCTGTCCCTCCGGATGGTGGGCGGGGCCATTGCCGTCGCATTGGCGCTTCCAAAACAAAAGACACACAAAACAGCGACATTAGGCGCGCCACCGTCCCCCTTTTGCTCACCGTAAATATCTCATTCGATCGAAACGTTCATTTTTTTTATCTTTTATTTTATGACTTCAACGGGGCCTCCGCCCTTTCCCTCTCTCTTTGTCTATCGCTCTTTCTCTCTCGGCCTCCGTCCGTGTTCCTCGTCCCTCTTCCCTTCGCTTTGCTCACGGTTTTTTTTTTTTTTTTTGGTTCTCGATAAGATCGTTAGATGGGAAATTTGGACTCGTGTGTCTCTCGTCGTGTCGAAAGATCTCGTCGATTCCGAGCGAAACGATCGGAAAATGATCGTTTTTCTTTGTTTTGGTTCGTGTTCGTTCTGACAGTCAAGTGTGAATTGGTTTTCTCGGTTGACGAATGCGTGTACGAATATGGATATGATTCTTTTGTTTTTGTTTCTGTCCGTGGATGCATGGAGGTGTCGAGGGTCGATCGATCTGGCAGAGGAACGGGAGAAGGGGGAGGGATCAAAGTCACGAAAGCAAGAAATTCGAGATCGACGGGACGCCGTCAAGAGAGAAGGACCGCCGTCGGGCGAACGTTTTTTCTCCACGATTTCTCGGGTATCCCGCAGGCGTGTCCGGTACCGTGGCACAGGAGGAGATTATTTCGCCCCCTCTTTGCCTACTTTCGTGATTTAGAATTAGTGTGTTGGCTTTCGGTTACCTGAAAAAACATTCAACGAGAGAACATAAAGCGGCTGTTCCCTTGCGGAGGGTCTCTCGACGCCGGGATTTTCACCGGGTGTCTAATACGGTGTTTTTTTTTTTTTTTTGTTACGGTAAACGAGAGAGATTAAAGAAATGGGGCGTGTTTTCTTTCTCTGTTTGTCGTGTGCTCCGATTGGTTCACGTCAGAGCGCTCGAGGAAAATCGAAAGAAACGGAATGTAAATAGAAAACGTGCATATATCGTGCATAAGGAATTCTCGGATTGCTGATGGTCGGGAAGTCTACCCAATGGTCAGTTTCAACGTCTTATCCATTGATTTCATCGAAATTTTGACAAATACTTCACTGTTAATGTTATACTACGATGTATTTTTTTGTGTTTCACAGAAAATTTTTAATGTATCAACCCTTTAACACTAGAATTACCGAAAATTAATGTGTTTTTTTTTATTTTTATCGCGTTAGTGAAAGAGCCAGCCTGTTGAAAATATGCAAATCGATATATTAACAAACTTCTTCACTGTTCTGACATTATATAATAATTTTTACAAGAGTTAACGAACTAATCATTTTATCACTGTTGGTAGTTCTAGTTTAATGATCGAATAGCGATTAATGCAGTACGGCAATGTGGGCTGATAGGGATTACGATACGCTCTTTGGTTACTTCACTGTACTAAAAAGATTTAAATTAGGATTTTATTTTAATACATTATTTAATACATTAAAGATCTCATTTTTCAAGTGTAGAAGCAAAATGGAATTTAGGGATACCAACTATAGTGGACGTTAGAAACAAAAAGACAGAAAAGACCGTGACTCAGACTTTTAACACCGAAAATTGAAATGGAACAGTACTTTTCGAAGTTCATTCAAAATTCAGTCACCATCCAAATAAGATTTTTCAAATGTACTTCCAAAATGCAACATTTTTAATTTATCCAATCAATCGAGAATCGAAGACTAATCACCATAAGAAGAATATATATTTTCTAAGGCTCAAGCTCGACACTCGTCGAATGGTGCAAAACTTCTCCACAGCAAAACAATTTTCTTTATCCGAAGGTTACGAGACGTTCTGAGATAAAGTGGAGTAACCAGTTACCAAGCAGCGTTTCGCAATCGTCCGGTCGACAGTCCGGCTTCCCTCTCTTTTCCGTTACGCTCCTATTCGCCGGACGTGACGGTGGATAATATATGTATCTCGAAACCGAGAAACGTGAAAGTCTGTGCTTTCGTAACAGCTGACACATGGTCGAAGCTTGGGTTTCCTTCCTGGCCATTGTGCATCTTGACGACGCGTGAACGACTCCTAGGCTCTACGATCGAGATCCATCTTTGATTTAACCCCCTGTGACGTTTGTCTTTGTAACTCTTAGCTTGCCGTACGTGTACAGTACAGTTTTCAAAAATATCAGGGTACCTGGTCTGTGTAAAAAAATCGACAAATTCAAATATAACGAAGGCTGATTCGTTAAGAAATTCGTCCAAAAATTTATTTAAAAGGAATGATGCACGGGGGGTCCAAACGAACGCACATCATCAAAACCGTTCGAGTTTCAAGGATTAACACCGTCTGAACATTCCACCGTTTCTGCAGTCATTATAGAATTGTACTGAAAATAGTTATTCTTCTTATAATGAAACGTTTGTAGCATATATGTTTTAATTTGTGGGTTACGTTCAATAGACACCAATTTGTTCCTGTCAAAGTTAAATAAAGCCCTGTCACAGGAGGTTATGGCAAATCCATTAGCATAAATCGACAATAAGTTTTATCTACTGTAGATTATTGTTGAACTGAAGGAACATTTATCATTAGACTGCTGATTTTATGCCTATCGGACTCAGTGAAACACACTAAAAGACAGAAATTCCTACACTTTTGTTTTTGCCTCACTTCATGAAATGTAATTTTGCATAAATTGTCTAATAATGAACATTCTTCAGTTATTATTATTCTGACTTCGACGAACTCGATCGATCTCGATCCCTTTCGACGATCCTCGTGCAACGTGTCTCGACGTGGAAGCAATCTTCACACGGACCACGTGACATCGTACGTGTCTTCGTCGTTCACTCAGCGAATCCGGAATTCACATTGCAAATGTGGGTAATAAAAGTGGACAGAACAAAAGGAATTACGAGAACGTACTGGGACCCAGAACAGCGTAAAAAGAAGCTAAATTACTCTCTGTCGAGCACGTTCCTATTAATCGTGTTATGTAAAATTATAAGAGACTTGTAATAATCGTGTACCAAGGAAAGACCACCATCCCAGTGCACCCCGATAGCAGGCAAATAGTCACGAACGTCGCATTTGGAAAGAATATTCACGGTGCACCAATTAACATTCACTTTGGAATTGTGTCGAATTCTACAGTTTAGAAGGATACAACGATGTGTTCTCTGTAATGATTATTTATGGACACTGAATACTTAATCACCAAGAACCACAGTAAATTCTCGATACACGATCGGAATGATCTCTACGTTAAATGCTTCTGCTTTCATCCCCCACTACCGGTGGAATGTCTTTTGGGACCAATCAAGCGACCAGTCGAATTTACGAGGTGCAGATATAGTGTTCCTCTGCGATAACTGTTCCAAAGCAGTTTCGAGCATTAATCGAAGATTTACTGTGGTAGTAGTGAAATGAAATTTCTAGTAATCTTTTTACAATTCTCACTAGAATTCTGAATGATTTCTACTACCAATTGACAACTGCCAGTGCTTTTAACGTGAAATAATATCGACAGCAATCAAAGGGTTAATAATAACAGATACTTTTAACAACGACACTGTGGAATCGGGGTGATCATCAACATTCTTTCCAAATGACATAAAGTGCTCTCCCCTCTGAACTTCTCCCCGGATCACTAGACGATCGAGGGAGAAAACCAACCATGCCACGGTATCAAGACACCAATCTACTAAAAAAATGTGTGTTGTGTTTGTGTGACCTGGCTTAAATCAGAGGCTGAATATGCAACTAACACCGACATCCACATCGAGAGAGAGAGATCTAGTTCGCAAGCAAACGTAACCTCCATAGCCGGCTAGAAAGAAATCAATAAACATAATACGGTAAAACTTGGACTAGTGCCCGAAAATTGGGATCGAGGCCGGGCGCTTATGAAGTAGAGGAATCGATTCTAAATATAGCAACCATCGTCGAAAGTAGAAAAGGACAGCGAGTGAAAAAGTAAAGGGGGACTGATTCTCACGATGGCTCAATGGGAACTCCACCCTCACTGGTGGGGATAAACACCGAGCACTTATGCTGTAATTATGGTGTAGATCAGGCATGGGCGAACTTATGTGGCATGGGCGAACCTATGTGGCATGTACGAAAATTTTGCTGGCATTTGAACCATTTCTCCACTTATGAATTATTGAGATTTTTTAAAATTGTTATCACCGTATCCGAAACCTATAGTTGTTTAAAAAATCTAACAGGTATATTATCAACTCTCTCTTCTACATGTGCTTGTGAATCATTATTCTGCGAAATGAATTTTATAAAAGATAGTTTAAGGAATGGAATAACTGATGAATCTAACTCGACATGTGTGTTATTAAATGTGGCGAAACACGGACCTGATACAAAGAATTTGGCATCCACTGTACAACAGCAAAAATCTTATTAATAAATAAATGATACTGATTCTTATATGACAAGTTATGAGTTCATCTTTACGAAATTCTATGCTAATTTTTAAAATAGTCCGAATAAAATTCGGCAATAATTAATTTTTTTAATTTAATTTGCCAGGCACGTCAGTGATTCAATAACTATTATATATAATTTTTTTACACGCACATATAACAAGGTTCGCCACCACGGCTGTAAATCGTTTCGGACACTAATCGAAGTTCTACTGTACACACGGTTCACACATCGTCGTGTGTTAAACGAAGACCACTCCTGAGAAACGTGTGTGTGTGCTCTCGTATTGCCCGGCACGGTATACAGAGTGCCCCAAAATAGCTTCGACTTCCGAAAATGAGGGGTTCCTGGGGTGATTTGAAACAAGTTTTTCCTTAACAAAAAATGTTATCCGAGGCTTTGTGAACGAGATATTAACGAAAAACCCCGACCAATTAGAGCTCGGCCGACAGACTCGGGCTCTGCTTGGTCCGGGTTTTTCGTTAATATCTCGTTAACAAAGCCTCGGATAACATTTTTGCTAAAGAAAAAATTGTTTCAAATCATCCCAGGAACCCCTGATTTTCTGGAGTCGAAGCTATTTTGGGACACCCTGTACACGCTCGTGAACAAGAATAATCCGCGGGAAAACATCATCGGACAATACCGAGTGTAACAGAAAAAAAAAAGCGACCGACGGAACGAAGAATCCGCGGTTGGGCTCCACGATTCGCGGAGGAGCGTTTTTATATTGACATACGCGCGCGCGCGATCATTCGATGACTGCCCCCCTGGGGTTGTGTGTGCAACGCTCCCCATGCAATCACGCTGATGACAGCACCAAGTGTAACGAGCTCGAGATAAGCTGCATTTTTTTCCATCACCCTCGATTTATCGCAGAATTCGCTGTCGACGTGTTCCGTGCCATTGGGAATTTCGGACCCGAAGCCTTCATATTACTAATTATCCTGAAAACTATAAGAATTCAGAATGGAAATTATACCGCGGGTGTTTCGGTAAGGTGATTTTAAGAAAAACAATTACAATGAGAATTCAATAATCAAAAGAGATAGAAAGGCACAATAATAATATAAATTTTTTCAAATAGCGCAACAAATAATCATGTACAATTCACTAATCGATCGATTGTCGACAATTTCATATGATACAACTTAATATAATTCTCTAATTATTCTGAATAGTATATATCGGTAATTTAATTGTTAACGGACAAGATAAACGAAAGATCTTACATAATTTCATACTAACCGAACATCTTCTATATTAATCCCCGATACTAATGTCTCCTAATCTCAAAATTACAATCCTGTATATTAATTCTTTCTAGATCTATCGCGACCTCTGTAAATGAAAATCGTAAAAAATTATATTTCTTGTAACAGAACACTTGTAACATTGTGTATTTAACTATGGCATTTAGAATTATTCCAGCAGCTAACAGGTTCACCTACAGACGCATTCCACCTGACTTTCCGTTCACTCCGATAAAATTATCATACATTAAAAATAACAATCGCTTGTAATTACGACACAGCGTAATCGGAAAGCTAAGTGTCGGTCATTGGTGACCGTCGACGAGGCGGTGATTGCGTCAATATTCCAATTATACAAATGAAACACCCTATATACACCAGCGTCCACTGACCTTTTAATAGATCCTGGGCACGGAACGCGTCGAGGAAGAAATTCTTCGTTGAATCGATAATTCGAATCGATCGAAAGGAAATACGGACAGATTTCGACCAAGTAAAGATTACACGGAACCACCAACGAATTAGATCCCCCGTTAAAGGAGCGAAGCGACACTGTGTTCTACCCCCACCCAGTTTAATTTCTTTTAAATCAGAGGTGAAAACGTACATACACTGCCGGCTATAAGTATCAGGACACTTGCTGTATTTTTACAAAGTGTAATATCTATTAGAGACTTAACAATTTTTCACTGCCTTTATTTTCTGGCTTCGATTAATATGATTTTATACAAATTTTTAATTCGAATTAAAAAATTTAACTGTAAGTACTTGTCATATACGTGTGGTTAATTTGTAAATTTGTTAAATTATAATTTATGCATTGGCCATTACCGTCTCCTGATCTCAATATCTTATGGAGAAAATATGGTGGAACCGGACAAATATCAAAAGTGGACTTATGCAAGTAGCGACAAAAGGTTTGAAATGAACATTCCATCTGATACCGTAAAAATACTCAGGTCTCAATAAATCTGTCATTTTACTCAATGCAAAGTTGCTTTGTAACATAAAATACTAAATGAAGTGATATTAGTTAAGGGTTCTTCGATTTTGCAATGGTTTTTCGTAAGTATTTCACGCAAGTGTAGTTGTCCTAATGCTTATGGCCGGCGGTGTACGTACAACGCAACCGGTTTACGAAGCGACGCGTACAATAAAAAGACCACACCCTAAATGCTAGGCAGAGCGAGTTATACTTAGGTGCTTAGTGCGGCGATGTGTGATGATGCGTATTGGACGGCGTGTTATAGCAACTCACTTGGACTTCGGCTGCATTTCACCCGCGGCTGCATCCCTACGGTGCAACCTCATGCTGACCCTTCGTTCCTGGCCGCCCGCGCCCGACGCTGAAATAGAGACCATCAATGGAGGATCACGAAATCGTGTCAACAATCAGGAGAATGGAATCACGAGCTATTAACCCTTTGCGTTCGAAATCTACCGATATTCCCCCCCTTTTTTTTTGTGTTGATTCTGCATTTTGTCCCTTTAACCCTCGCTTGACAGACCGTGAAAACCGATGGTCGAGTCACTCGTGACCCACACCAGGCACTACGTGCTTTAATTTAGAAATTTTGCGTTGACAGAACCTTCGAGATTTTTTTGACAGCACTAAAGTCAATGTCCTTATTTCTAATCATGTAAGAATTCTTCTATCGCAGAAATTGATTTTTATTATTTATTTATGCAACAATCAACAAAAAAAAACTTATTAGATATGAATTTTAAACCTCCCTTTATAATGAAATTTAGATCAAAGTATTTTTTAAATATTTTACCTTAGTAATAGTTAATTTAATATAAGGTATAAAATGTCCCTGTCTCTGCTCAGCGAAAATGGAAGTGCAAAAACCAAACTTTGGCGAACAATATTAAACATGCAACGTCTATATGTAAGTCACGATCGCAATGGAACCGCTAAAATCACGTTCCTTTACGACGGATACACTTGTCAAATTTATTTCTATTAAAATGCTGCCATTTATTGAACAATGAGCCGTAGCATTCTAAACTAATTTAAATAATTTCTCGTATAACTAATGTATTGTTTAACTTTTTACATTATATAGAAAAATATACGTACTGAGCAGAAATCGGGACGTTGACCTTACTGCTGTTTTAGGTGATTTCAGACAATTATGTTTGCAAGAATCTTATAAACAATCTGGCAACACTGGTCGATAACCCCTGGGAACAGGAGTTGGGAAAATGCATTTGCAGTTGTGCAGTGGCTCGAGTCGGGGAAAACGAGAAAATACGAAACAGGAGACCGTAGAATGTCGACGTCTCGGGGCAGGAATCGCTTTTAGAAATGCAGCACGCGCGTCTTGAACGCGACGCTCGGACCAGTTTCGTGACGACAGTGTTCCGGTCAACGAGTCGACAACATCGCTTCGGTGGCGTTCGAGGAATCACTGTAATTCTATTTTCATTATTTACCACGAGGAATATGTGTTGGTATTTAGTGATAATATGGTAGATTATCAGGAGATTTTGTGGACAAAATCGCTTCCAAATTTGAATTGAAAAAAGAGGAATACTTTTAACTACTTTTGAATATTCATCTACTAAAGACTTCTTTAGAAATATTCTTACGAAACTTTAGAAATTCTTTACTGTTTCGGAAATTCCTGTGCTATTTGGCAATAAAAATTGGAACTGTTAGACTTCCTTCTTCAAAATAGAATTTCCAATGATACACGAAACCGTGAAATCAATGTCAATTTAATGGAACAAACGACTCATTCATTTAGTGTCCAATTACTCTTCATTTTTTCAGAAATAATATACTGTTATAGTGTAAATACTTTTATGTTTTAACGAAATTGCAATAATTCCTCGAACTCTATTCACGCGACTTCGGTGGATTTCGGATTAACGCGTCGGAAAACGCGATCAATCTTATGAAAAACGAAAAAACTTAACGTTGTTTCTAAAAAAAAAAATGAAATTCTAAAATTGTAGCTGTTATTTCAATAGAAAATTTCACGCTCGAAAATTTCTTCAGCGAATAATGTCTGCAAGAACGACGATACACCGCAAGGATCGATATTTTCGGGTTTCACGTTTTACATCGATTGGAATCCTGGTCTCCTCAAGTTTCAGTAAACTTTTAAGATTCTATTCAGATGTCTGAGTAAAAATAATCCTGGACTACCTTATGGATCCATAATACATGGATCATTTTACGCCATTTTTTTTCAGCATTTATCGTTCGAATGTTATCTTTTCTCTATTTTTAATTAAAACAATTCACAAATGTACCAGAATTACCATGGAATCGAATAAAAAAATTTAAAAACCATAGGTAAGATTGAAAACTAAATTTTCTAAAATCTCGAGGAGAACCACGATCGGACATACAGAGGAACGATGGACGATCTTTCACGCTTGGCAGTTGAAATGGAAAAAGAATTATCCACCGAAAGTGGAACGCAAAAACGAAAAGAGATTTGTGAAAAAACGAATAACGCAACAATGATTTTGAAAGATTTGAGGAAAACGAGAAAGATGTGCTTTCGTGAAGACAGATGATGCGATAGAAATTGAAAAAAAAAAATTACTCGACGAACCTCCGTCACAGATCGAAACAATCAACAAAAAGATCGTGAATTCGAAACGCGGAGATTTTGGTTTTTCCATTCAAGCCAAGTGAGAAAACAAAATTTTGACAAGGATATTCGACAATGTCGTGTGGTGAAATAAATAAAGAGACAAGTCCTTGAATGGAAAAACGTTTATTTACTACTTTCTCTTCATCATCATCATCATCATCATCATCACCATTCGTCACTATCCATAAAAACAGAATGATTAGCCTGACTGCGGATTTTATGTATAAATATAGCCTCCTAACTCGACATAATAATAAGAAGTTCAATAAATTCTATTTCACTTTTAAATACATGAATTTCTGTCAAATCTCCAGTTTCTCCAAATGAACCGACAAAAGGAGATTTCCACCTTGCAATATTTAATGAATCAAACGGATATCTACTTAATTACTGATTTTTTGTTTAAAAAAACCTGAAAGTCTATATTTGCATAAACAAATCCGCAGTCGAAATGATTACAAAACAGATGCGCGCGATTACCAAAGTGCTCGGGGATGAAAATGATGCGCGCGGAACAACGATGTTTTTTTTTTTTGCGCTTCCCGTGTATCGTTGGGATCCCAGAATTTTTTGAAAAAAATCGATCGTTCTCGTAAGTTCTGCCGACCGATCGACGGAATTCACGCGATTCTGTCCGCGTTGGTATTCCTCAAACGAAGTAGAGGCCCCCGGAGGATTACGTGTCGCGCGTCGAAAAAGCAGAGAACTAATGATGCTTTATCGTGTCTATCTAAGCTTTGGTAACCTGTCTGGGAGACCTCGAGGAGCTTCTTTTTCGTTGGATCGAAACCGATCGCTGGAAACGGAAGTACACGATCTTCAGGTTAAGAGCATTGTGAAAGGGTCAAATGCAAGGATTACCTTCCATATGGGAAAAAAATAATAGAAATTCAATGACCAACGGGGTTATTGCAACAATATTCACAGATTATACTGCTTTGATTTTCCGTGGATCAAAACAACTGTTTTTATGACGTTCGTTTTCTCGATGAACCCCCTTTCCGACCGTAAGATTGCATTTGGAATTATTAATGTACTCAACAGTCGTGCAAGAAATAACTGTATGCAAAATAATATTTTTCTGGGGTTTGAAAGAAATAATTCAGGTCGGAAAGGGTTAAGAATAATCTGATAATGGATTGATTTCACAGTTAATATCACAAAGATAGATCAAATTAAATTGAATCGCGTAATTTAAACTTCGAACAAGTAACCATTAATGCCTGAATAGAAAACTGATACACATATTAATCTCAAAAAAGAAAATCATTCGATGCACGAATTATTATTTGAAAACGAAACAGCTGATCTGACAGAACAGTTGGAATATAATTTTACAGTAACCCCGATAAAAAAAAAACGGAGCGAATCGATGACGTTATTCAAAGATCCTCCGCGAACTAATCCTCTCACGTACTTCCGGTTCCTTCTTCCATCGCACCAGGAATCCCAATGAAAATAACGAAAGGCGAGGATACGGTCCGTTAACCCTTCGAGAATCGACAATTATACGAAACGCGTGTATTGATACCAAATATCCTTCGAGTAGCCAGTTAATTTTCTTGTTCCACGCCTCGAAGAATTAACACGCTCGCTGCCGAAAAAATTTCCGACGAATTCCACACGTCTTCGACACGTCGACCGTCTTAAAAATTTCGAATTTTTCTTCTTTTTGGAATCGTTGGTCGATCATTCGATCCTTGGATTAATACTGATTTCTGTTCGATGACGAGTTAAGACGGTCAACGAGTCGATGACAATTTTCCTTTTCTCCCGTTTGCGAAATGTTATTGAACAAGCAACAAAACGACGACAATAAGCGCTCATGGTTAATTTACAATGTTCGATACAGTTGGTTACAAGACTATCCACCTACTCTGAGTATTAAACAAATTTTATAAGCGTAAATTTGAAACAAAACATTCTTTTCACAGTTCAATGGAGACACTTTTAACCCTTGTGCACTATTCGGCAGAAACTCTCAGACTATAATTTTTAATTATATTCCTTGTCAGGGAAACTTGTAAATTAATTTGACACTAATAGTTTACACAGAGAACGATCAAGGGACATATAAGTGTATCTCCTTAATTCGATTTTAGCTTCGACCACGTTTACTTCGAGGAATGCAATAATTTATTGAACAGCCTTGTATATTTAAATTTTCCCGTCACACTAGCACGAAGTACTTATGATGACAACAGAAGGAGTTCGTCCCGAAAGCGTTAAGGATTACGTTTAACAAATAAACCATCAAGTGTACAAAGAAATATTCCTTAAGTAAAATTGATTCTCCAGTTCCTGCATGTTTAAACTTTCTCGCCTCAGTGGTGCACTCTATTAACCGAAGATGACGTCTTCCCGAGTCTACGGACGATACTCTTGTAACCAGCTGTAAATATCGCGGCGAAACAATCGAAAAGCCTCAACGATTAAATAAAGGAACACGTGACATTATCTTGATAAAGCTACACGATGAGTGTCGAGCCTCGAGTCTCACGTCTGAGGTCCTCACAGTCCGCCATTTTGTTTTCAGTCTCGGCGCCTCAAGCCAGAATTCGTCGAACAACGCTTGAGAATATAATTCTCAATCAATCGACATGTCTTTTCATTCTTCTCTCTCTCTCTATATATATATCGTTCGACGAAATGCAGTTTTAATTGTTCAAGCATACTGCTCGCGAAACCGAGAAACAATGGCGATCTATAATTTCCCCGAAGCAAGGAACGCGAACCCCGTGGCTCTGATGACAGTCCCGGAGTCGATGACAAAAACGACTCTTGTGCGCGTTCTCGAGCTTCCTAGACAGCGATGCAAACGCGTTTTAACGAGAAGAAACGATACGAAACTGACTCCCGACAATTACAACGAAAAACTTCGACTGTAAATCATTTTTCAATTGCTTGAATCACGTTCACGAGAAACAGATCGCGAAATTTCCCGTTTCAGCCTCGCCAGAAGAGAACGGAAAACTTGATTCACGTATTCGACGCGTAACTGGACCGATAAAATGAGACGAACACGATGATTTTTGGGTACATGAATATACAGGGTAGGCCATGAAACGTGGATCAGCTTGGATCATTCTACTGCTAGATGTTCGATCGCAATTTTTTTCGACTAATATGACACGATTCAAGGAGCGCTTTAAGATTCTTCTACCAAATTTTTTGGCAATCTATTTTTTCCCAGAGTTTTCAAGGTCACCTTCGTGAACCTATAATTTTTTACGTCCATCTCTTAGCGGATACTTAGATAACGGAACAAATAATTTTGTTTCTTCCTATCCAAAGAAACTTTAAGAAAATCTCATTTATCTTAATCAAAAGGATGTTCAAATAGTGTCCATAAAATACACTTGCGCTGATGTTTAAGCATGCATCTACAATTTTCGATCGAACAGCTAGCAGCAGAATAATCTAAACTGATATCATTTGATGGTCCAGCCTGTACACAACGTGCGTGAATGTTATACTCTTCTCAAAAACAAGAAAATAAAAATCGCGCGAAAAAGAACAAACAGGATAAAACAAAAAAAAAAAATTAGAAACACGTATAAAATTGTTTGCGTTACGTACGCTGGAACTCGACGGTCCCTGGTAGTATATACGAATTTACGGTATAAAAATCAGTCTGAGGTTATATCAGTTCTTCGTTTTGAAAATTTCGGTAAATATTTGTATAGAAGGAACAAATAAATAACTCGACGAACCTTTGCCATCCGAAACCATTGCTCCCAACGCGTCCAGGATAAACGGAGTCTCTACAAATGCGTTTCGTTCGATCTGCGACGAACGGTTTCATGAACCGACCGTTAAACGTCTGGTAACCAATCCGACAACCTCTCTCACTTCTAGTTCTACCTCCGAAAAAAATTAAGTAAAATATAGTCTGCCGCCGTGGCAACAAACGGTTCCAGTTCCCGTATGCGTGAAAAAATAACATTTCCCTTGAAAAAAGCGCGAGTATCAAAAAATCGGCGAACACGCGCCTCGACGAATTCTAAAGCCGTGTGATCGAGGGGACCATTTGTTAACTCCTCGAAGATACGTTGTTGACCTGAAGAGCGTGCAGTGATTTTCTAACATCTCGAGTGGGACGATCTTGAAAAATAAACTTATAATTCGGAATTCTGAAGCTGGAAAGACATCAATCACGATGGTACAATTTAACCACTCAAATGGTACTATTTTCAATTCTGGCCAGATTCACGTTCAAACGTGGACTTACAGTTCGTGACTTCCAGGACGGCGATAAAAGTTACTCTGTTGACGATAGTGCAATTTAGAGTCGAGAATGAAGACCCTGAAGACAATTCGGTGTAGACTTTTCCTGTGTCACCTTGGAATAAAGAGTAAACGCAAATATGATGGTGTATATTATCAAAGTTCTCCCCTTCCTAAATGGTGTGGGATCGTTTGGTGATTTCTCGGTCAGTCGTATTGGAGCGAAGATCTGTAAGTCCATGTTTTTCGAAGATGATAGTCAGCGAATTAAAGATGGTCATAAAGGGAGCTTTCAACAAATACAAGTATAAAAAATCTCTGCACGCTCGTTAGGGCACCAATGTACCATCTACAACTTAACACGGTCCATTCTCCATTTTCCTCCGTTTACCATCGACCACGGATTTCGTTGATCGAATACAATGATATTAGTGATTGATTATGTACACTGGTAGGTTCCTTAACGAATACATTTAGTTACTGTGGTTTGGTATGCGAGAGTATACGTTTCGCGTTAAAGAATCGAACCTCCCTATTTCTCCTTTTCAAAGAGAAACAATGTTGGTTCCGTTAGTTGTGGCCAATACTGTGGCCAGATTATTCGAAGTGCAACCTTTATGTATAGATACGTAGATAGTTAAGAAAAATATATATATATGTATAATATATAGTTAAACAAGTACCGAACTAATCCGTTTACGCGGGACGTGTTCATGATTCGATCGATATAGCAATGCTTCGAAAATCACTCCCCTATTCAGGGCCACTGGCGAACGATTTACAGGGTTATGGAGCTTTTCTGAGCAAGATAACGTTGTAACTTATTTTTTTTTACTTGCCGTTGTATTATTACGGAAGTTTTGTGTGAAAATTGGCGAGATGTTCCCGGTGAAAATGAGATCAGACACAACTGCGTCGAATTGTAAATTACGCCTATTAATAATGATTCGTGTATTGCGACAGTCTTTAATTACAGTGGCGTCGATTTAAAACATAATTAAGTTATTCCGAACGAGTGATTTCTGATGCATTACTCTGTATACAGGGTGATCACGAACCACTGTCACGAAACTGGAATGTGTATTCTAGACGTCGAAACTACCAAAAAATTAGTAACTGACACATTTACTAGAATCCTATTTGGTAATTTGATGTTAGGATACACTGGTTTATTTCGCGAGAGCAGTGTTCGAGTCAACCTCTGTACTATTTAAGGCAACGTATCCCGCTGTCGAGCACAGCGAGCATCATTTGGTGATACAACAGGGTGATGTGGGGAGATTCGATAACTCCCTCGATTAAATCCACCGTGTATACAGAAGAAGAAAAAATAAAATATGACTCGGATCCCCGACCAAACCGACGCAAGCATAACAACGTACAGAAAGAAAAACCCCTACAACAAAAATCGCTCGGTGGTGGTGGTGTGAGACAACGTGTCCTCCATTAAAGGACTCTTAAATGCAGATACAGATAAACATGTCCAGAAGGATCCCCTTCAGAGTATCCAGATTCCCTTGCTGCTTTCCGTGGCGCAAAGAATCGCTCGAGTTCACACCGTAACTGTCGGTGTCGCGGTCAGCTCTGACGGCCCAATCCATGAACTGCTCTTGCTTCTCCGTGCCCGCCACTTCAGGCGCATATAAACCATCGGTACGATTAGCGTTCTGCATGTTCTGTAGGCAAAGTTTGCCTAGCTGGCTGGTAGAGTAGCCAACGTCATCCTTGTTACCGTTCATCGAGTCCTGGACGTTGCTCGATGGATCAAGAGGTTTGGTTTCGGTGGACTCGTTGCTCTCGTTGTTCTCCTGATCGTTCGACCGATCAGACGTGTCATTGTCAACGATGGTGGAAGGAGTCGTAGCATCTGGTTCGCTCTCGATAGCAGTTACATTCCTATTGAGCAAACTGTCTTCTTCTTCCTGCTCTTCTTCCTCCTCCTTCTTCTCCTCCTCCACCTTCTTCTTCACACGAAACGTACTGTCCTCAAGTTCAGCGGAGACCTCCTTCTCGACCGAGATCAAATTCTCCTGAACGAGAACACCGTGACCAGGCTCGGCAGATCGGCGGCTCGCGATCCGCTCAAAAAAATCGTTCTTCTGGTAGTTCTGCAAAAAATACTCGCACTTCTCCTGCGCGCTCTGCGGCCTCTCGTATTTATTCCGTCTGCGGATCCTTTGCTGTTTGAGTAAAAAATGCCAGCTACGTCGGACACGTTGCAAGAAATTCGGCCATTTCCGGGTCGGTTTGCTAGCCGATACGTCCAACGACTTCTTCGATCGTTGAGAGGAGTCTAAGCTTTTCTGTTTACCATGACAGACGGTTTTCGATCGTTGTTCGTCGGACAACAGAACCAGGCTCTTCGACTCCATCACGGATAGATCCACGCTTCTCTCCAGTGACTCGAGACTCTTGTGAGCCTTCTCCTTGTTCGCGAACGAGAAGTTCTTTCGTTTCTTCGTGGAATCGTTCAGGATGATCTTTTTGAAGAACTCCGTTTCGTTGTCCAGGTACTCGACGTTCCCCGAGTGGCGACGCGTGTACACGACACGTCGCGTGGCTTTTTTCTCGTGATCCTTGTCCGCGCTCCCGAAGCAATTCAACGAGCCAGCGGAAGCTGCTCGGTCCTCCGTGTGCTCCAGTTTCTCGTCGACCGTGCTACCACCGTAGAACACCGCCGCCTCGCGACCTCTGTCCACCTCGAATTTCTGCCGGGGAAAGTAATAGTCACGATTGTCCAACTGAGGGCTGGACTCGCGTGGACGGTTGTTCACCACCACCACCTCGCGATCTCGGTGGTCTCTATCCAATCTCTGTCGGGTAAAAAAATAGCCACGACTGTCCAATTGCGGACTGGACTCCCGCGGACGGTTCACTGTCGCCGTGTTGTAACAGTCCCGGATTGCGAAAGAAGTGTTCAGTTCAGTGACACGATTCGGACTGTCCCTATGGTGTCCCAAACTTAAACACGACACGTCCAACGAACCTAGCTCCGGCGTCGCCCTGATCGGTGACGATTTGAATGTACTAAACTGACAGGCGTTCGATCGTTGACGAACGATCTCGCTACCGCCCGGCTGCTGATGACCGTGACTAACTAAGAGCTGCGGTATCTGATCGATTATCGTCTCCTGCTGCTGACGACCACCGGTAAGCGATAATTTTTGGTAGAACGGGATTTTACCTTGGAGCTCGCTTTTGTCCTGATTGTCCTGATCGCGGAGAGTGTCCAACGCCTCACGCTTCTGCCGCATACTTCTCAGATTCGAGGCCGTGCCCACGGTCGGGCCCACCGTCGCCACCGACGCGTTCGCTAGACACTGCCGCGTGTAGGGCCTGAAACAAGAACACCGTTTGATTGTTGCGATGAATTAGTTGGAACAGACTCAAAATTAGGATAATAATGATTTGAAGTGACTATGCTTGCGGTAGACATAGGTACAATCTAAAAATCTTTGGATAAATAAATAAATGACGAGTTATCCCTTGCCTGACCCGGTTAACAGGTTAAAGGTAAAATATTTATCGATGCACGGAATGTTAAATTGTTGCTTCAAGTGACCTTTGCAAGATGGCAATGTTGATTAGAACAAGCAGGAGTGTTATTTAAATAACTTCTGGAATTGTTCATTGTTAAAGATATTGATTCAATGGTCACTTTCATTGACAGATTATGTGCTCGGGTAACTTTATCATATGGAAGGCATTTACCACTGTTCTAGTCTGAAGACAATTGAATCACGTGTTTGAATAACTTGGTCACGATGTTTTCGTAGCTGTTTGTCGAGTTATACTGACACGAGTGCCGAAAACACTTGAAACATTTGAAGAACTAACTCGTGAAATATTATTGTAACAGATGCTAGTAATATTATTACTCGTTCGAGAGTTAGCGTGCACGAGTGCAGAGGGTTAAAACCTTTCATCCTCATGAAGGTACCATTACACACCTCTATGCAGGGTGTATAGATAAACATATCACAGTCAAATATCTCTGAAACGAAATAAGACACGAAAGTTCCTATTTACAGATTAAAGTAACGTTCGTACCCTATTGAGTTTCGGAGATATCTGACCGTAACACAGTCACCTCTACACCCTGTGCAATACGGCAAATTGAAGGGCCGTTAGAAAAAAACAATTTCAAAGAAACGATGTCTCTTGTATTTCGATTACTTCTGATGTTCGAACGCGTATATTTCCCGATTCATTGACCCAGCCGCCGAGAATAGAACGTGCTGGGTAATGAAATGACCATGCTATTTATACACATGAAAGGACGGTGGGCATGGCCGAGACACGCGAGATCGCTAACATGTTCATGTTTGATTTCGTATACGCGACGTTTGCGCGGAGGCCCTGCTTAATTCGGATCGGTCGAGCACCAACCTTGATCGATGCTCCTGATCGTTATTGGTCCCGGAGGGCAGCGCCGTGTTCGTCTGCTGCGAGTGCATCGGCGCCTGTTGCGCCGACGGCAATGTCGGTTGCCTCACGTTCCCGAATTTCAGCATGTTCCAATCGAACACGTAGTCATAAGTGAAGCCCTGTCCGTGGAACAGCGTCCGGAACAGTTGTCGAAGGTACGAGTAATCGGGCCTCTCCTCGAAACGCAGCCCTCGACAATACCTTAGATACGACGCGAATTCTACTGCAATAAGGAAAAATGTTCGTTTTAGTTACCTCCAAGGCCGTTTCTTTAACCCTTTCGCGACTAGCGCCGGTTATATCCGGGTTCCACTAAATGCTTCACACTGGCTAGTGCCAGTTATATCCGGCATCCACTAAATGCTTCACACTGCATAGTACCGGTTATATCCGGCATTCACTAAATGCTTCATACTGGCTAGTGCCGACAGCGTTTTTTATTTTCTATCTTTTTGTGGATTATCATAGTTAAAAGTAAGGTAATTAATCAGCAATACCAACGAAATCCTATAAGATTTTACACGGACACATTGGGAGCTTCAAAAACACGAGATACTCTTAATGTGTATGGTGTGCACTAATGGCATGACGACCCGCTCCCAGCGGCGCACCGCCCCTCAGCCTCGCCGTCGTGAAAGGGTTAAGGTGAAACGTGAAAACAAAGATGGACAAAACTTCTATCTAGATATAGAGATACCCTTCTATCTACAAGATATCCCCTTGATTTTCTATTACTAAAATAATTCTCCCCGTCTCTACGTAGGAACTGATATTTACCAGGAAAACCTTTGCACAGTTCCTCGACAGGCGTGGACATCTTTTTCTCCGAGATACGCTCGTACTTCTGCCTCTTGGTTGCTGCTTTCAGACCTTGCCAGGGTAAGCTACCTCTGTTGAAGTACATCAGAACATACCCTAAGGATTCAAGGTCGTCTCGCCGTGATTGCTCAATTCCCAAATGCGTATTTATGCTCGCGTATCTATTCATGGACGAAAGATTAACTTCAGTAATGTTTACGAATATTCACGAGAGGTTGTTTGACAAGTTAGAAAATATTCCGGCAAATGGACAAATTTCGTTCTACGGAATTTTAACGCTCAATGTCTTGAAAACAGTTTCGGTTAGAAGTTACACACGCTACCGGATTATGGATTTCTTCTAACTTGCCTGGCAAGATTATAGAGAACAACAAACCTGGCTGTTCCCGTCAGATTCTTGTTCTCTCGGTATGGTATGTGCTTGTGAGTGCGGCCATCGCGATACTTCTTAGCCAATCCGAAATCTATAATGTACACGAGATTTCCCTTCTTTCCCAGTCCCATCAAAAAATTATCTGGCTTAATGTCCCGATGGATGAAATTACGACTGTGAATATAGTCCGTTCTACATATCTGTACAGAAAAAATACAAGAATTATTGGAACATTCTTCAAACCGATTATGTAAAATAGTTTTTTTTAAATCGTTGCTTTTGGCAATTAGTGCGCGCATTTATTGTTTCTTAATAACATGTGTTGTTAACAAGGCTAACAATAATATAACTGGTGCTTTATTATATCCTATTTCTACATATTACACAAGAAATATGTATTAATGTACACATGATTTCACATGAGACTGATTAATGTCACTATTTTCATGCAATCACACATTGCATAAGACTGGGAAAGTTCCTTAGATCATGGAAATTATTCATTGAGAATTTAGAAGGAATGACCGATAAAATTTAAAGAAAGAAGGAAGAAGAAACTTTTCAGGGATACGTTTGTTTTTCTCTGAGTTTGTTCCACATTTAGACTGATACCAAAATAGTCATTTGCTGAATGCATTTTGCCCACAACCAAAGTTTTGCACACTAGTTTCAGCTCCTCTTTGAAAGACTGTTTTCATTGAGATTATAGTCTTAGTATCGGCCAACGACTGTGTATGCTGATAAGAATGTTACTCATATTGTAATTTATTCCACCGACATAAAAACAAAGTAACAAATACTCGCACATAATCAGAATGTGAACTTTGAACAGTACAATATATGCACAACAGTACAATTTTACTTGCACCGATACCATGAAAACAGAGAATCAAAGATCCAATTTAAGAATAGATGACATTGCATATGTAATATTTTATCTTTTGTTAAGAAATGAGCTAATACAGTTATTTGAAAACACATAATGAGAAACCATGAAATACGATATTATCAATGACATAATAAAGTAAGAAGAACCCATCATTTCATTATCTTAAACTGACCTTACTTACAATGTAAACAAAGTTAACATATAGACATAAAAATATTAAACAATAAAAACTGGATAACAAGCAATAAAGATTAGTTTCCCAGTAAATGTTACATGATGATGATAAAGGAAGACAACTGACGCATTCACTTTGCTAAAAGTAATTATTTACCAACTGATCGGCGAGAAGCAACACTGTCTTTAAAGAAAATCTTCTTGAACAGAAATTAAACAGATCCTCCAGCGATGGACCAAGCAGTTCCATTACCATTACATTGTAGTCACCTTCCGATCCACACCATTTTATAGTAGGTATACCAACTGAAACGTTACAACAAAATGTTTGATGATGATAATGAAACACAAACTAAAATCATTCATTAACAAATATAAATATTGGACTGAGTAACTTAAAGTCATAAATAACTTCAGTATATTTATCCATTCACTTTAGTGTAACATACTTTGAAAAGAAAATTAATCAATCATATTCTCCATTATTATTTAGTATAATTATAGCCACTTATAATATAAGTTATTTATGACCTAGTCCTGAAACCGTAAATTTATATTATTCATACATGAAAATTTGAAATTACCCAAATAAATTACCAAAATAATTATTATAAATGTTCCTATTAAAATAATGAATGATTGGCTTGCAACAGTTTGCGGATCACTGCTAACAATAGCTTTAAATGACTTACATTAAAAAAGTATCTACTACAGTACAGAATATCAAATCAAACTAAACACTTATTAACTAAAATATTCTCATATCGATGAAGGATTAAATATTTCTAATTTTCTATAATCCAACAGTTATTTCACATGTATTTCTCTTTTTCATTCATGCTTACTGTTTGTTCATTGTTCGTTTTCATTTGTATGTAAAAGACATTCCTCTCCTTTACAAAAACAAACAAGTAAACAAATAATTCTGCAGAAACTCCCTGACTCAAATATGTAATCATTAAAACGGTAAAGTCCATATTACATTGTCACAAAGAAGAACAGACAACGCACGAGGAGAATAAAGGAGTAACACAGCGATAGAGGGAAGGGGAAGCAGAAGGGTGGGAGGGAGACAGAGAGAGAAGGTTCAGTGGCCAGAGCTCAACCAGCTGTCCAACAAACAAACTGAAATTTCTGACGGTTCACGTCCCGACAGCGAGTGTCGAAATAATCGTCGTACAACCGACATTCCCTGGGGACGCCTTTACGAACGTAACGTTACTCACCTCCGCCTTGCATCATCTTGTAGAACTTGGATTCTATGTGTAACTGCGGATGCCGTGTTTTTATGCATTCTAGCTTGATGGCGACTTCCTCGCCGGTGGAGATGTTGGTACCTAAGAATGAGAAAAAGGCCGGAGGCCCGGTCACGCGGTTGTCGAGAACAAAACAAATCAAAACGAGGGAACAGGAGGTGGGGGGCGAAAGAGTTCGAAAAAAAGAACGTGTGCGTGTATACCAACGGGAAGTTGATATGCGTTCATGCGTGTCGTAGGGAAAATATGTAACCAACTACCGTGAGTAGGTGGGTGGTCAGTGTGGTGTATGCGTGTGTGTACGTGTGGGAGGTAGGGGGAGAAGAGGGAAGGGAGGAGAGGCAGGCACAAGGAAAAGGTAAACGTCGAAGAGGAAACAGGCGAAGAGTGATGTTACCTAGATAAATGTCGCCGAAGGAGCCGCTCCCGATTTTCCGTCCGAGCCGGTACTTATTACCAACGCGTAGCTCCATCCTCCGGGCTCGCGGGCCTCGCGAAGAAAAGTAGCACGGGGGCAAAGGAAAGGCGACTATTAGGCAGCCGACTCGAGGAGCGCTCTCTCAAGAGGCTCCGTTGGTGGTGCGGATTTTAAACGAGACTTGGCCACCGTGTTAGAAACTGGACGGGGCCTCCATGTTTAATCGCGTCGCCGTTCGCGGACCTACGGGCATTTCTTCGTCTTTCTCTCCTCGAAGGAATAGCTGCTGCTACTGCTACTGCTGCTGCTGCTGCCTCTTCCTCTTCTCGGTACGATGGCGGCCGCGCTGTTGATGGCGCTGCTGTCGTTCTCGTTGTCGCCGTTGTTGTTGACGGCGCTGCCTCCGCTGCCGTTCCTGCCAGACAGAGATCACCGCAACAAGAAGCAGCAGCGGCGATCACCAGAAGACTGTCGTCGTATCCAACACGATTGCCCCCCACGGGGGGCGGCTGACCGCTCGTCCTTGTATTTCCGTAGTTTAGTAAGCACGAGAACGTGCCGCGATCGACAACACCGGATCTAGATGAATACGTCGATCCGGAGTGAGCAGCGCCGATTACCCGCCAATGGGAGCACGAACCGCGTAAGGGCATCTGCCCTTTTCGCTACGTCGCGATCACCACCGTAAACCGAATGCCAGAGACACACCAGTTATGGCCGTCCGCGCGAACCACACCGATTCGATCTTTCACTCCTCGAACTCGCGCGCACCTTTTTCTACACGGGAACCAGATTCACCGTTTTCCTTGTTCTTTTCACGGAGCCTCGAAAGAGGTATCGACGGACAAACGTTCGCGCGAATTTATCATGACACTGTATCACTTTCGCTCACTTTCTACGACGCCGTTACTGGACAAGTCCTATTCCCCAGTGTCGCACGCTCACTGCCTCCCGATCCCGACTTTGCACGAGTGATCACGATGGCGCACGAAACATCCCGAGCGCCGAACGTGGAGCGTGTTCCCGACACGCCTGAAAAACTTCCGCGTCATCTGGCGAACACTGGTCAAATTCTCCTCGATCATGTGGAGCTGACGATCTACGAGCAACACACTGTTTCTGTTGATTTGTACAGCACGGTTTTATGGAAAATATAAATTTCTATTAAAGTCGCAACCCGCGTCACTGGAGCGTAATCAAATCGACGACGCGTTGCTCGTGTGGCATCAAACCTGAATTAATACAAGCGTTTTCCTTATTGCGTGCCTCGCCGCTCTGTTTTCCATGCTAAGCCCACGTAACTAATCCATAAACGCGCTTTGTTTTTACGTTACAGTATTTATGCATTAGTAAGCGAATTGAGCAATAATACGTAACGTATAATACGCTGCACGTCGTCAATGATATTGTATAGTAAACAATCACACTTTTTGTCTTCTGTATTCTAACTTGGAATCGGTTGCGTTTGGTCCACAAATGGCAATGATAGATACCTTGAATAACAGACAAATACAGGAAATATAGACACGAGCAAATTTTGATAAAGTGCTTGGAATGCTGAATAAAATAAGTTGATATCTATTACCGAATAAAGACATTTCATTTTGAACTTGCGAATAAATATTTGTGGTCTTACTCAGCATCTAAAATGATCACAGCTCATATTATGAAAAATATTGTTATTAAAAAAAAGAATTTTACACAATATTGTATGTATTGTATTGTACACTCTATTTTCATGGTTACTGCATTATTGGAATGCGTGTTACGTACATTTTAAAAAGTAACTCGATGATACATATGCTAACTAAACGAACGAAATTATCGATCGGTAGTCTCAACTGGTTTCAACCAAACGTTTCAACTGCTCAATACACTGTTCTCGAATAGTACTACGACGTACTAAAATATTTACATTTAACTCTTATTCTTCACAAGCTGCGTAGTAACTTAAATGATTAAACTTGAAAGAATTAAAAAATTTTTTATAACCGTATATTTGATACTGATCTTTTTTAAAACAAATCAATATTTCGTTTTAATTTTGATGAACGTACATTGGAAATAAAAAATTGATGCCTTAGAACAAGGTTTTATTGTATATTTAGTCTGATAAAATTCTTAATATAAAAAGAAATGCATGTCTAATAAACTTGACATAAGCATTCTAACTCTAATAATATTTCTATTATTTATTTTCCATTACTTGGAAGTTCCACCACTTCACTTAGTTTTCAAAAGGAAAAAGGAAAGTCAATAAGATGTATATGTTATAACAGATCGTTTGTAAAAGTTATGCAATAATGGTTTGTTACAATGGAATACATATACATATTTGATACTTTCTATTCAATATTTATTAGTCTGTATATTCTCTTTTGTTTATAAACTTAATTCGTTTTAAGGTGAGACAGAATAAGCATAGGATTTTAAATTTAAATATAGCACGAAATAAATCAAGATAAATATCATATGTATAATATAATTTGTCTTCATAAAACAAAACATTAATAATCATTTGTATGTATTTCTAAAACATACATTCTGTATGTAAGTATCATTGTAATCAATTATTCGACAGAATAACAAGTAGGAGATATTTTGGGCAGTGTTTGGACCATTCACTGTGTACAGTGTGTAATATTTTATCAAGGTAAAAAATCAATGAATTTTACAATAGAAGCACGTTTCTTTCTTATACATTCGGAGATATCTTATGTTACCGCGATCACATCGCCACGTTAATGTAGTTTACAGTAAAGAATAAAACTTAACGTACAGGGTGATCTAGAAGCACAGTACACGTAACTAGCTCTTTTCTAGGGTTTGAAATTTAATTACTGGAATTACAGATGTGCATAAATTTGATTAAAATATAAATTTATCCGAATTATTGTCCGTCGGTGGTCAAAATTCGTCTTTAAAATTTGTTGTCGTCTAAACGGACGTGTGCAATATTTATCGTCGGGATACATTGTACAAGTTGATTGCAAAAGTACTGGTTCATTTACTCTATTAAATGGTACGTTTAGACGTCTGGTATGATACTCGTCACATGCACAATAGTTGCTTTCATATTTTTTCTCTTTTTCACTAACTGACATAATTATACGTGATAGTTACATATTCGATGATTATATACAATTTCAAGTGAATCTACAATTTTCTAAACCCCTTTTCAAATTGTGGCTGTTTTTCAACTTTGATTACAAATAACTCATTAAATCATTTAATGTTATCACCAATTCGAAACATGTCGGTGAAGTCTTCGACTTTTGAAATCAACTGTATAATATACAATCCTTGTTGTCACGCAGAATAAAACAATTGTTTTGTTCCCAAAAGATACTGAAAAAGGATCGTAGGAATATCCGAAGTTACGGGATGATTAAAATATCTATCTACAAAGGCCTCGTATTGATCGCTTTTAATTAGAATAAAATCGACAGTTATTCGAACCCGTGCGTAGTCTCGAGAGACGGACGACGATAAACGATAGACAAGTTTGTTCGAATGGGTTATTGATTAAATGCAAGAGAAACGGATGTGCCTCTTTCAATGCGTCAGTCTGTCGTTTTCAATAGAAGTAGTATACTTCACGTTATTTCTATATTCATGCGTTGTTCCCCGTGGAAAAGAAAGAAACTGTTAACACGGTATGTTTATGAAACATCGATCTGAATACAAGTCACTCCAAGGAATCGGAGTTACGCGTTCCCTTAGAACGTTGGCATGAGATCCAAAATAGGGGGGTAGGGGGTGTTTTAAAAAATATGGTCCGTACTCGCGGGAAACGGACATCGAGCTACGTAGTAAGTCACTACATAACGATACAAGCAGTAGATTCGTGGCATTTTACGACTTAATCTTGCGCAAACAGTAATATGTAGCAATTGTCCTCCACCAAATTAATAACACAACAATAGGTAGTTTCTGTATCTAAAAGATCGAACATACGCGCGGTGCTAAAAACATTGTTACTGTCTTCGTCTTGCATTAGTCGAATGATCGAGGAGGTCGTAACAAAAATAGCAACCATTGTCAAAAAAAAAACTTCTGAAACAGAAATACGTTCCACTGACAGCAACCAGGGAAGTTTATATTTGTATGAATTTTAAAACAATGGAATGAATAGAGTAATAATATTGGCTAATTTTTAGATTTAGAATATAATTATATGCAAAATAATTGACGGATAATAATACAAACTCAATTGAATGTACAGTTTGGATTAGGACGTTATTTCTTTATAAATTTATACTTTTTGACATGGGTTAATTTTGTTATGATCCACTCATTTGCGGCGTCATTTCGATGCTTTTCGATAGAGAAAATCTCATTGTACCATGCTCGTTCGTAGAAAAAGAGGAAAACTTAACGATTAACCAACGTCAATAAAAAATATATTCTTTTCATAACGGCTCTGTCATCTACGTCATGGCCATTAATAGTCGCGTCATAAGTTTCCCTTCCTCAATCTCTGTAACTTTCCTTAAAATGTAATACTATTTAAGTAGCTATCTCTGTATTCGTTTAGGCGTATCGATCTTTTTTTTTTACACAACATTTTTACTTTATCATTCTCTTTCGCGACACGCCTGAAACATTCGAAATACTATAGATGGTTTAAGTCACTCTGTTTCTTACTTTTATTATTATTTAGAAATACAACGTACCGCAACGTACGCGTTGCGTTACAAATATGGCTGCCATGCTCACGATTTGTGATGTATCTTGGTGTTATCTGTACAATGAACTAGAGTTTCTCGATCACACCGATTTCACATTACAAATTCTGGGTTGGTTATAAAAGTTTCGTTAAAAAACTGTATATTTCATCAATTTATCCGGTTAAAACAATGTTAAAAAACATTCTAATCTTTTTTTTTCAAAAGATTTCACTTGCTTATCTGTAAATAAAATGGATCATGTTAAAATTACCTAGGCCTAGCTCCACTAAACCGTCGAATTTTTCGATACGAAATTTTGCTGTCAAGATATTGTAAATGCAATGACAAAGACGGAATTTAGTTTTTTTAAAAAGAAAAGAAAACACTAGAAATAAAATACGGGTCAACGATTTTGGCAGTTGGTATAACTTAAGCGATTCGTCGTTTTGTAATACTCGAAAGATTTCCTCGCTTCGTCTTATCGTTTATATGGCTAACGCTAAATGCCGCGTACAAATCTAGAGTTTTTAAAAACAACTACGATATATAAATTCTACCTATCGCCGCTGTGTACACGTGTGAGTTCATTAAGTAAAAACGTCTAATTTATTTCGTGGCTCTGGCTATTCAGAGCGATCAAAAATTTGTTTGATCGGGACGCGGGAACGATTCGAATGATATTTCTAAGAACCAACTTCTTCAGGCCTAGCCAACGGTGCTTTCGACTTCTCAGTGGTTACTGTAGTTGTTGTTACTTCCAAGTTCGCCAAGTCGGCTGCACTAATCTGTAATATGATAAAATCGTAATATATCACAGTTTTGCACTTCATCTGGAATTAATACTTCACAAAGTGACTACTGAAGAATCTGTTAATTAGAAGAAGCTTTACTACATCTACACTAAAAGTTGTTAGATCATAGAAAAAGGAGAAAACTGATATAAAAATAACTATGTACCCCCAATCTTGTACATCGATATCTGTCCCGATTTCGGAATGCTTATAAAATAAATTCAGCATATAAAGTACCATTTATGAGTGAAAGATACAATTTTTAAGTTAAAACATACTGTAATGAAAATGTGATTCAAAACTAATAGCAGTACTTAGAAAATGTTTAAGAAATTATATTTGCATGAATATTATGGAATAAAGTTATGTTCATTGAATTTGCTCATTTTAAACGTCCATAAATATTTCCGTGGTTCTCGAAGCATAGGCAAGATTGTTGGTATTACTGTTTGTGGTTTCTGAAATACCCAATTTTTCAACAGATCTACACGCGAATAGGCTTCGTTAGTGTGTTAGTAGCGTACAAATATATGCTAAGCATTAATCGGTAGGGCTTAAATATCGAGGTAAGGTCCGACACCAATTATTCGCAATACACTCAGTGCCGTTTGCTGACCTCGACGTTTGAGGGTAGTGTGATGGTAGCATGTGTCGTTGTTGTCTCAGTACCGCTTCGTATCTCTCTCTCTACCGTAGTGCCTGCGCAATAATAAATAGCACAAAACAAAACAATAACAGAAGTAACGAATAAAAAAATAGTGTGGGGACAAGGATGAACTAAAAAAATTCTTATAAAGCGATGAAAGACGAACACAATATATCAAGCGGTCGATGAATAATACAATATCTACGGGGTGCTCTATTACACTGAGAATTCTCTTTACTCAGAACCTTCAAAAACTGTTAGACTCGTCGACCTAGAAAACATTTCATTAAAAATAACGTTTAAAAAATGTGCTTTAAAACTATAGAAAAAAAAAACTCGTTCTCAAAAATGAAAATAAGATTTACATAACTATATCGGTGATTCGTAACTTATTAATCACCACATCGATCGGTAAGTAGTACTGACTCGAATGAGGCGTTTGTTTGCTTTCACTCACTGTTCATTTGCTGCGTTTCGTTCGTTTGACTTGTCTCGACTTCCCCATTGGCGGTGGTGTTATTGGTAGTTTGTGAAAGAACGGTGGTAGTCTTCACCACCAACGACTGATTCTGCGTGGAAATCTCCGAGGTTCGAGAGGTCACCTCCATCTTAAGTCCTGCAAGACGACTGTGAAGGTCTTCGGAAGACGTTGCGTTTCTGAAAAGGGAACTGTTACTGCCAAGAAGATGGCCAGTACACGAGGAAACGCATCTATTAGCAGAGCAAAATAAAGTTACGAAGCCAGCTTCTGTGCGAACTTAATGTGCAGATTTTGTTTCGATACAATTAGAACTCGTTATATACTCGTAGATCAACGATGACAAATAGAATTTTAATAATAAAACGAAGTTGAAATAATAAGAGTCCCGAAAATCAACTATGATCTAAGAGATGCAACAGGTAACCAACGAGCGTTTAACGAGATCATATAGTACAGTACCTCGTATATAATAATTCACTGAGGTGTTCACCATCAATATAACATAAAAGCAACACGTGTAACACTAATAAAAGTAAAGCAATAAAAAGCTCAGCCCGGGTGGCAGCATCTTCACTTACAGTAAATGATCCTTGACACTATCGATTGTGATATCTCCTATAGAACTTAAGTCTTGACGATCATCTTCGCCGTTGACGTCGGTGGTGCTGGCAGCTGGTCGTAGAGACGGTTCTTTCGGGGACTCTTCGCCACCGGCTAAAAGACATGTATTCAAGAATGGGTACTAGAGGGGTTACGGTTAGGACACAGCGTTTCTTCGTGATACATGTTAATCGGGATAAATTACAATTCAGCGGCTAGCTCGTTTAATGAATCACAGACGATTGTAGCGAAGCAACATGTATGTACATGTATATAGATTTACACAGAGATTACAAAATATGCAAGCGGTTACGCATATTTTTAGTAGTAGCACGTTAAAACATTTCCCTATATTGATTCCTAATGTACAAATTGATTATTAAATACACTATTATGGTAGTCATCTCGTGGGAGACTCGATATACTCACTGGAACCCACGACACCGTTCTCGGTGATTGTCCTCTGTACTGGGGCAGCCGGTTGGCTACTTTGAGTTTCACCTGTTGTTTCAGCCGTACCTTCAACAACTCCTTGTTCCTGGGATTTTTCGTTGTTGGCGGTTTTATTAGCATGCGATCTGGCGTTAGGTGGTAGATTCAACGCGCAATGCGTTTTCGTCTCATTGCTGGCTGACAGGGAAATCCGCTGGAGTTCCGAACTTGAGTGAAGGTACAAAGCTTCGCCGGCTTTCGTGAAGGTTAACGAGGAAATTCCGCTAGAACGGAGTAACATTATCATAATATTAAAATCGAAATCACTACTGATTTAGCAAACATTAAGTTCGTTCACGTGTAATACAGAAGACACTCACTTAATGTCTTCCCGTTTAATAGCTGCAGCGTTCAGCTGTCGTCTGAATTCTGGAATACTGAGCACTAAACAGTCCCCGAGGTTGGTCAAACACAGTAAGTATGTCTCCTCGTGCGATCCCGCGGGTTCCACATGACTCGTGAACTTCGCGAAACCCGTTTTCCGTACTCGGGAGCCCTCGTGCGCGGTAAGCTTGTATTTACAGAACGGTTTCAACGACGGAAGATTGAAAATTTTAAATTGTTCCTCGCTAGCGATCACAACTCTCTGCGCAGATGCCATGTCGGGGCCGGGACACACGCCTTTTTCAGCCTCAAATGGTTCCGGTAGCGGTACGTTTGATCCGTCCAGTATCGTTATCGCGATAACGGGTGCTCTGTGCTTTAATTGAATCTCTTTGCCTAATGTACAATTTACATCCTCCTCTGTCCTCCTGACGCCCGCTGGTATTGCTAACGTGAACACGTAGACTGTACCGTTATTGGTACCTGCCCAAAGTGTAGGAGTGGTGTTTCTCACTGTAATAGGGAAAACATTGAAATGCATCGGTGTAGGAAACGTGGTAAGGGCATAACTCAGAATCTATTCATATACTCTATTTATAAACTGTACTTACTGCTGATAATGTAACTTCTAGCAAAATATAAACATCGGACCATCGAACCTAGAGTATCGTCCACGGGTCTCGCTTCGACTTGTCTTTCCACAGGCTTTAATTCAACTGGTGAGAGGTCGCCGCTCGGAGAAGAAGCGACGCTAGGACTATTAAATTTAACACTGAATTATATTTACCATAATTGATACAGACTACGCGAAGCAGCAGAGAAATAACTCACGTTTCTTTCTTTTCCGGTACTGCGTTCCTTGTCGGACTTCCGGCGTTCATTCGACGCTGCGACCTTCCCTTTCTCAATCTTCTGAAGGACTCCCTCAGTGACTTTTTGAACGACTTTCGTCTAGAAATCGGCGTGTCCCCTTGCCCAGAAAGATCTGTAGAACGAACGACATTGAGTAACGCCTAATCCCGCGAAAAGATAACAGAGAAGCAAGTTCCTCTCAAAATAATTCAACATATACCATTCGGATTGAGGGTGCACTTGACAGTGACTGCCTTCGTTCTAGTATAATCAAATACCGCTAAACCATGGGCGGTACCAGCAGCCAGTAATCCCCATTCACTGTGCAGAGCCAACGCGGTAACCGCAGCCGGTGGGTACAATTGAAGAAGACTTTGCGGTTGGAAGCCAACCGCGAACGATATGCTGGCAGTTCTCACCGGCAAATGATCGTGACCTTTCCAGACGAATCCGTCACGATCATTGACGATGTTCATGGTGACAGCTTTGATCTCTTTGTTCACGGGTTCGGACGATATGCTAGCTGTGATCACGTGGCCGGCGGTGCCAGCGACCACTAGTGTCGAGGACAGAGGACAAAGTAGAACCTTTTTCACCGCGAGTCGCGGGTCGTCCGAATATGGATCAAAGGTGCCGACTTTTCTAAACGGAGGCCACTCGTCTTCGTCGTCCTCCGGCGGTTGCTCGAGAACGTCTAGGTGTTCACCGGTGAACAAGATGGACGAATTGTATTTGTACAGTGGCGTCAAGGCGACGTCCGAAGCGTCCCAAAATCGGACGGTTCCATCCTCGTGGCCGGTGAGCAACAATTCTTTGCCTTTCGGCTTGTCACCGACCGGTTTAGGACTCAGAATACCACCGTCTATGGGCCACGGTTTGTCCGAGTACAGGTGCTCTGTCTGCGCTTTTCCGGCCGCTACAATGCTGTCCCAGAATTCGTCGGGCACGTGCGGAACGTGTTGCGAACAGGTGACCTAAAATGGTGGAATATTCTATGAAGGCAACAGATGGATATGGAATGTTGGTTAGACCCATATTACACACAGACAATGTCAATTGTATTTCTCGTGTTAATTAAATAACATTTACCGCACTCGCATGAAGCGACACTAGATAAGGTAACGCCATCATCTTCCACTCAGGATTGGTCAAGTCAATGGCTACTATTTCCTGCTCGGCCAACACCACAAGAGCTTCTGGTCCATCGGAAGCATCTTTGCCATCTTCCTGCTTCGGGAAAACAGTGAAGCAGTCGATCACTTTCGACGTGAAGTCGAAGACCACGTGTTTCTCTTTCGACATGACGGTGAAGGTGTCGCGATCGCCGTAACTGGCCCGTTGCATTCCGCCAGAAAATAAGACCAGTTCCCCTTGCCTATAGAATACATTTTTTTTTTAGATGGAGAAATAGAAAAATTGTCGATCCGATATGTATACACTTACTCCTTGGTCGGATAGACGAGAATCTTGGTGATGGCTTTGCATGGGAACGGCCCATAGGGGGTGGTGGATTCCAGCATGGTATCGCTTCCTGGACTCCAGAATGCGTACGAGCCGTCGTTGTGCGAAGAAACAAAACGAGTCTCGGAGACCCAGTGCACCGATTCCAGCTGTTGCGTGGAGACGAACGTCTGCGCACGCGAAAACAAACCCATCAGCTGCACGTACACGTTCGCCAAAACCACCAAAGACACAACAAACAACAATCAGAACCAGCGGGTACCATTTCACGTGTGGCGCTTAACCCATCGGCAGGCCTGCTCCCATTCAAGTGACAAGTAACAATCAGTCTCCCGTTGATTACACCATACACGACGAAGAAACACATGATATCGGGAGAGTAACAAAACATACAGAAGAGATTCAGCAAAATGACATTCACCTCCATACAAAAAATTCAGAATAATATACCAATGGGACTGAACCGTTTCTTAAAAAAACGGAGATTGTACGAAGCAAAATTCGACTTCCTTGAATTTAATGGCTCCTAAACGAAGAATGAATAGGGTGGTCTAAGTGTTCCTTTTCTCTAGAGAGATGTACACCTAATTTTCAAACGCTTTCATTCAGTATCTGTAAATGTCACCAATAGTACAACGTATTCAAGCAATCTTCCTTCCATTTTCGTTAATGAGTTAATCGTTTTTGGGTTATCTAACAGCCCAATTACTTAGCGATTAAGTGCTACCACCTGAAACGGTATATCATTAAAATACAATTTTCTCCACCGATGGGTTAAGCGTTTCCCCCAACAAATATTTGTAACAAGCTGTTTGTGTGTGTGAGTGTACCGTGTGCTTCGACTGTTCTGTAAGCGGTGTTATTACACTTCGTTGCATTAGAGTTTCGTGTGTACAGAGACGAACATATAAAGAAATACAGAACAATAAGAGCGGAGGGCTCACCTGTTGAGCTCCCGGAGTTGCTTTGTTCCACAGTACCATTAAACCGCGGTTGTAACCAATCAGAATATTGTCCGGGTCACCTGGTTGTTCCGCTATCGCCTCGACCGCTCCTGGATTCTTCTTGTAATCGTTTGGCACGCTGTCACAAAGGAGGATACATACAAATCTATCATTTCAACGAGTAACAGATTATCGTATCAACTGCAACATTAACTGTTTCATCTTATCATTTTTTCACATTAAACTGAGATGCTGAAATTCTAATTTCCCAAGGTCTGGAACTGAATGTCGCAAGCATAGCCGCCATCTTGAGTTCAGTATTATGAATGCTTCAAACGGGTTTTCTCAAAGTGAAGAACTCGTATTACTTTGTTCTGCTTGTTACTGCGACTAATTAGCTCTGAAAGAAGGAAAACACAGATGTTCCTTACTTCTGCATGACGACCTCCTGGTATATGATATTGTCGGACGTCGTGAAGGTCTTCATGTTCAAGAGATAGATATTCCCCGCTTCTGTGCCGAGAAGAAGATTCTCGCCGCTCGATTCCAAACACATCGCGGACACTTTGAATTTACCCTCCAATGAGAAGCTCTGCGTCTCGATGATCGAGCTCTCGTCGATTTCCCACATGTGGACGGACTTGTCCAGTAGAGTAACCAGTCGGCCCTGTTTATCGAAATAAAAATACATCTTTATATCGAAACACGGCGCAGCAAAATGTTTCGTAAAGTCTAATGAAGTTTCTATTTAAATTTCCGCGTGTGTGTTCATTATTAATCTAAAGAAACCTGTGTTTGCCGAACGATGAGTCATTGATCATTTACGATGGGTACTGGAAGTATGATATATTATATTAACGTAATTATATTATTCTATCATGTGTATGTAAATTTATCCGAGACTCCGTAACTTTTATTTTAACAAATTTTCAATATTATATTATATTAATTTTATACCACGTGTTAATTTACCACCGAGGGACAAATTAAGTTGGGAAAATAAGGGACGGATAAGAATTAAAAATGTTTCCTCATTTGAAAATTTTTTTTTCAAATTGTAGGAAAATTAATAAAAAAAAAACTGAAGAAAAAGAAGCTTGATATCGATCGATCCGGATGGATCGAGGTGTTCCTTTGTTGGTAAACTTAGAAATTTCATGTTTTCCATAAATCGTGGAATAACTATTGTTTTCATCATTGAATTTCTTCTCACGAGCCAACTCCCGCGTTCTCCTTTTTTTCTCTTTCTCTCTGCAAGCGACGATTCTTCGCGGCAGGCCAAGTGAAAACCCGAGGAAAACGCAAGGTTAAGCCGGTCCGCTGCACTGCCCGCGTGTTTTCTTACTTTCACGCGAACTCGGTGTAATATGGGTGAATATGTACGTGTGTATGTGTGCGTGCGCCTGTTTCTAGCGGCATGTTTTTTCCGCGAGAGTTTCCACTTCGTGGAAAAGCCGGGCTCGTGTTATTAAACGCGTGCAGTTAAATGATTGCGGTATCCTCTGGCCGCGTCTGGAAATCTTCTGTTCCAGTTTTTGCTCCATAAAGCCAGAACTGTGTAACATGAACTTTCCGATTTCCAGATGAATCTTAATTTAACGTGATTAACGGGGTTGCGAATCTGTTTGGTGGAGTCGAATCAACTCGCACGCCCTCTGTCGGTGTCTCCTTACATGGTGTGACCGATCTCTGTTTTCCCGGGGTATAGTCGATTCGAATAAGTGTGGCACTTCGGTGTTTCGACGAATCGGTCATCGTTCGTAGTGCTCGATAGAGCCCTGATGTGATTATGATTGTGGATTCGCTATCTTATCGGTTGAACACGATTCTCTTGGAAAATCGTCGCGATAACGAGACTCCGAGTCCCGTAACTACGGGGTCTTAAGTATACTCGATTCGATTCATAAGTACGATACACGCCCGATACTACGTGTAGTTAACTTATAAATGTTTATCATATAATCTTTGAATCGGATAATATGATAGTTTTGTAAAGTCTTTAGAAAAACTCTTGGCTGCCTGAAGGAGTCATTTTAGTTTCATAAAAATTTGAAATTGACTTTTTAAAAAGAACATACGACCGGAAGTAACGGTACCGAAGACCAAAATCAAATTTCTGGGCTTGTGGATGATTGAAAATTTATCGAAACTGGCCGAAGCTGATGACACAATTCGATTCCACTCGCGTAATAATAATTAGTAATTAGTAAGCAACCGAAATCTTAACGGTGAAACACACGCCGGTGGATGAAATTAACGAGGGAAGCCGGAATCGCCGACACTGCTCTCCTATTCATGTATTCCACGGAGGAAAGAAGTCATTAAGAAGCGGTTTGCCGCTGGGGTAAATGAACGTGAAAAGATTCATCGTATTTATGTACGTACGCGACGCGATTAAGCAATCTTGCATTATATTCTCGGTAATTATACACCACTTTTCCCTATTACTCTCCACGTTCTTTTCCGCACCGGTAATTAATTATCTCCGGTGTACTCTTCTCGCTCGCCTTACCGCCGTTGCGCGAGCGCACGCGCTCACACTACTCTTCCAGAACTCCTTACCGATTTGTGTGGACAGGGAGTTTCGAAACAGATAAGTAATTCTTTCCTTTAAAAATTAATCTAACAAAATAAATTAGAAAACGATAATAATATTTCAATAACGATAACACGAACAACTTTCTGTATATTAACGTGAAAACTTTCTTCTTCAAACCACGTTATACGTGGTCGAGTTAAACCTTAAATACCCTCTATAAATAAATACTAAAAAATTATATAGAAAATTTAATTTTTTATAAAAAGAAAATATATTCTAGAAATTAACGATTTTCGTTTGAGAATCTCAACAATGCATAAACCAATATGAGCTTAAGGGCCAAGACAGTACCTAGCAGTGACAGGAAACAGCAATAAAATATGTATTTTAAAACTATAATATGGATATTGTAATAAAGTTTGATTGGTCGTCTAAGAAAACTGTGGCTCGGCTACATTCTTCGCCTTTACGATCGCGGCTACAATGGGCCCGTGTGCGTTATTTACCTCGGATACACGTGCAGAAACGCGTTGCCCGTGTCGTACACGCGGTTATGCAACTCAGTACCGCAGGGACAGCAGACTAAGCCAAAGACGGTGTCGCGTTACGGGGTGTAACGCGTGCGACTTTTAAAACAACTACAATCGCGGCACATCTCTTCCGTTACGACGTACACGGTCCACCGATAAATTTTTTCTGCGTGAACCCATAAGGCCGTCGAACTTCGAGCGGCCAAGATTGATTTAGGCAACGTCCACTGTGTACGACAGTGACTGCTTATTTAAGAAATATTTACAGAATTTGTGCATTAAGTATAAATCGTATATTATATCTTTAAATTAGTAGTGTATCTATACACTTATAGCATACAGGATGGTCCAAAACTCAATGTACAGTGAAAAATAATGTAAATTGTTATTTCATTTATTGTAGAACCTGATAAAACTCGGTAGCAAAAAGCTAAATGGAAACAATTTGTCCGTCACTGGTTCCAAATGTTTCGGTCTCACCTTTATTTTGACTAAAAACCTAACGTAAATTGTTCGTCGAACAAGTACCCATACAAGGGTCCAGAACCCATGCAGTTCGTTGCCAGTTGCAACGTACATACTGGATCCCGTAAACTAGTTACTCAACCTTACGGATAGTCGAATTACATAATCCAGTGCACACCAATAAAAAAAGTGAAACTTACCTCATTGGGAACGGCGACGATCTTCCTGATGGCTCTCTCTCCGCTGTCGACGTGCTGTCCGTAGAACTCGACGCCCGGCCTGCCAAATCTGTGACCGCGGCTCAGTCAAGGAAAAATTAGTGAACATGATAAACCTGCGTCCTAGAGCTCTAAGAACGTGACACACCCGTTACCAGACGGACGGACAAACGCCGGTCATGTTTCGAAAACGACCGACTTAACGCGCTGACCGAGGCGTTTGTGCTCGGCGAGCGGCGCGCGAGGAGGAATGCACGGAAAGTTCTTGCATCGTTTGCAAATTCTGCGAAGATCTTGCGTACACCAGTTCTAACCCTACTGTACCCTAATCCATTTAATAAATGCTTGTCTTTGTTAGTAATACATCCGACGAACGATCACGATAATATTCTTAGTCAATAAACATCGGAACGAAAGCTTCAAGGACATCTTGAATATGTTCGTTTCTTTGGAAAATTACACACAATGACCACAGATGGAGCTGTATTGAAAGGTGGAATATAAAGACAGCAAATGTGGTTTCAAGGTCACCTTCAAGGTCATTCACGTGTCATATCATTCTTATTGTTTCTACGTTACTCGAATGATACCTAAAGCTACGGCCAGATATTGTGAAATTGTATGCATACAGATAAAACCTCGAATATATTATCTAAAGGTACGAATACTATGGTTGCAAAAAGGTTTGGATATATGTTTGAAGAAGTTCCGAAGCCTTTCGAACATCGAACAGAATTTCCATCGAGAAAAAGACGTTTGTTATTCGCATTGCGAAATGATAATGATCTTTCGATTACGTGGCCGCAGGTACGTACGTATATCTGCCATCGCGTTGCTTGAATAAAATGCGCGCACGGCCAATAGAAACCGCGCGTATCGCGAGCCGGACCTTTTGCACGCTGCGCCAATTAACATTTTCCCTTTTCGCTGGATCGTGAACACACGATGCACTTGGTAAGAATCGCTCGATGAAACGAACGTGTTTCATTGCTACAGATATTTCGTCCGTGAAGTCTGTACATTTTTGATTGTTTAACCCGTCTTCCATCTGGAGGTGCTCGAGATTAAAATAACATTTCACTTGAACGATACACACTGGACGTGTTTTCGAGGAAGATAAACGAAGTACAGACAGATTGAACAGAATCCTTCTGTTTCGATCGATAAACCGACTTGGCCACAAACTGGGTAACGAGGTAACAGCAACACGTTCACCCAACAAGTGTGTGCCAGAAGTCTATCAAGTGGGTATATCGATCAGTCGCCAAACATTTGCTTAACAGGTTCATAAAAGTTTCGAGTGGCCTCTGGTCGAGGCATACCTACTTCTCGGGGAGGACTTGCTTTACGACTGCGGTTTTCCAATTACTGCATTCGCAGGATATTAGGTTAATGTATTCACCCGTGTTCCGAGAATAATTTAATGGCTTCTGTGGTAGCTAACTGAAACTTCGGCCAGAACAGGCCACTGGATCACACCGAGGAATTAGCGTTGTATATACCTGTCCCAGCAATGATGAAACAAACTGGTTACCACTATCCAATGAATCGCTAACTATCCACTTTTCCCCACGTTCTGGTAATTTTTGTATGGACACTTGAACTCTGGAAATAGAAGATAGACATTGTGATACTCGTGTCTATGATATGCTTGTATTCAGAGGCAGGTGTGCCTCCCAGTATTTTTAGTACCGATGCCCAGAATTTATTCTTGTAGCTTCTGATAGTCCCAGTCCTGATTAAAGTACTTGAAAAGTCTTATATTCATGCACCTCTTGAGTTCCATAAAATTATCAGAACATGTCTGGTTGTATCCTAGACTCTCCTGATATCCTCTAATCTTGAGTAGAGTAACTTTCAGTTCACTGGCACTTAACGTTTCTAGCCCTATTTGGAATACCTCCAAGTTACTTCTCTATGTTCTCTGAACTCCTACTAGTCTACAGTTATAATAGGAATACTTCTAACCCGTTCTTGTACATTTACACCTTATAACTCAAGCCTACTGACATTTCTGGTCTTGATCAAAATGCCTTCAAGCTATACTCTATCATCTTACAATATTCCTGGCCCATACTGTAATTCTATACAGAATAGTCAACTATATTTATCCCCTTCTGGTTTCTGAAGTCCTGATTCTAAGGCACTACTCCTTCGCTCAAAATACTCAAAATACTCTGACATCCCTCTACCTTTCCACCTACAAACATTCCTAATCCTAACTCAAATACCCCCACCTCATAATAGCCCTACTGTTTTCCCAATCACAATGTCCTGGACATTTCTACCTCTTTTCCTTCCAATATCTGCAGGCTTTAATCATAATACCCCCAACTGGAATTTCCCTGAAGACACGGGAAAATCCTTCCGAACACGATTTACAACCAGGAAACCTTAACGAGTTCCGTGTAATCTTGCAATAATTCTGTCAATACAGGCAACAGTGTATCTTAAAATCTGGCACGAACACTTAACGGATCAGCGGCGACTGCGTTTCACGGGAAACCCATCGATAAGCCGAGAAGCACCAGGAAGAATCGGGTGCAAAGGAATAAAGGCGTTCGGCGAATCGCGATATGTTGTAGAAACGGCGACTAAAATTAGAAAGGTGGGGAGAGGTGCGAGTGGAGCGTCGAAGAAACCTGCGTCAATCACCGTTTTTCATCGTTTCCCTTCGGCCTCGAAGGTTTTTCGACGATTTATCGGCAGATACGAGCGTCATCGCGGGCACACGGCGATGCTACGAAGAGACCAGATTATAAATATCGTCAGAGAACGGAAAAAGAAAGCAAGAGGTAGAAGAGGGGCAGTCACGGACAAGAAAAAGAAAGAGAAGCAAAAGGATACACCTTGATGGCGCCGGATGCCGTGCCGATCATCATCAGCCGCAATATCGGGTCCCAGGCGAGGGCCGTTGGATTGTTTGGGAACCCATGCTGCAGAGTCTGCAAAGAAAAGGAAACATTTATTAGCGAATGTGGTGGAGGCTATTACATACTAAATCAATGTACCTATCTCCTAATGGTGTTCGATTATCTCGATATGTACTACCCACCATGCTCAAATCGTCGTTCTAGTTCTTAAGTGTTCTATCTCCACTAGTTTTTAAACTGAAAAAATTAAGTGTAAAGTTTATGAAGTTTAATATTATAGAAGCAGGAAGGTAGTGAAATAATAAAATTATTAAACACACTCTAATATAATCTACTGAATAGTTATTTATTACAATATTTAACAAAATTTGATCTCATTATCAACATAAATTTTTCATTGTTGTTAGTATTTGGAGATACAACTCTTAAGAAAAGAAAAACTTTCAAAGTTTCGGAGTTAGGGCTTACAAGAATATTTGTTTTCTCTGTATGAAATTCTGTTTGAAATATTTATTATTTTTAAACGGAGATACTTGTATATGATGTTTCTGATGAGAAGTAATTACATAAAAGATCAAATAAAAGGCGGGCAAGTTTGTTCCGCTGAACGTGTAAGCGTCTATCATGTTACCAGAGGGTGAAATTTTATCTCTTGCTGTCTGGGCTCGGTCTTCGCGCAACAGAGATTCGAGACGAACGGATCTTACGAAAATATCCCATGGCAAGAAGAAATCTATGGAATAGTATTAAAATCGAAAAAACACTATTGATCTACTTTTCCCGCTCTTTTTTAAAATGATAAAAAAAATAAGGTACTACATATAAAATTTACCTGATTCTAACGAGGAAAGCTCAAATGAAGATTCTACGCCGCAAAAGTCTTTTCATATTCACATAGGAAATCATGGAGCACGGATAATAGTTTAATGCTATACTTATCTTAACCACTGCATTAAAACAGTCTATCAGTCATTCAGTCCAAAAGGTAACAAATTTTTATTGTAAATTCGTACATCGAAATCACCACGCCTGTGTTCGTTATACGGATGAAAGCATCAAATTTAATGAAGTTACATCGCGGTGCACGATTCATGAATCGACTCCCATCATTGCACTCGTTCTCCCACAATTACTGCACTGCCCATCGTGTAATCAACATACTATTTATACGAGAAAGTCACTAAAAATAGCGCTATCTGTATCCGCCGCTGGTGCACCGTCAGAGACACATGAAAAACTTTCATTCAAGACGCATATATCAGCTTACAGGGGAGAACTTTCGACGTGCGTGAGAAATGATACGGTATAGGCAATCGATCTACGATCTTTGCATATAGATTTCAAACATTTTGTTAAAACACCAAATCAAATGGGTTTTAGACGATTAGGTGTAGGCGGTTCGGTATGTAGGTTATGTGGTTGAAAAGATACCAGATTTAACAAAGTTAGATAAATATGAGTAGTTAATATTGTCATGAAAGATACTGAATCTATTGCAAGTGGTTAAGTAAAATGTGGAGGATATTAAGTCCACCATAAATCATAAAGTCTACTATACAGCATATTAAATCCACTACACATGATTAAGTCCAGTATAAAGGATCAAGTCAGAGGCAAGCGGCTAAATAGAAGGGTAGAGGTTAAGTCAGCCTAAAAAGAACGATACGTTTCATTTGTTCCGAAACAATTACACCTATTACGATAACAAGCCTGTAGGGGGTACACAGTCTTGCACAAAAAGAGACTAGAAATATAGTTCATAAGTTACTTTTTATGGGGTCAAGTTGGAAACGTGTCGACACGTGTGTCCATTATCAGGAGGGTTCAGTTAAAAACAAACATAGGCTTAGGCTCTCGTATCTGAATGGGGGCTACGAGGCACGCTTAATGAAGGCAAACAGCGACAGACAGGCTAACGATCGCACGCTTCCCTTCCACGACTCGTTACGAATGCAATTAACCGTAATTGCGCGCGTCAACCGTTTCCGACTTTCTCGGCGTAACACGTTCGGCTGGGTAGGTAGTCAGCGATTTTTGGGCGAAACACGCGGCGTGGCATATTAGTCACCGATGATGAGTCAGATTCCGTCGGTTCCCGTTAATCGAGCGGTTTTATCGACCGTTGGTGGTGGTGCTGCTGCACGCGTCCTCGCTTCCCGCGTCTGCCGAACAAGGACCAGAAGAAATCGTCCGTTTACGAGCGACGAATTAAAACTGTCATAACTTGTACATAATCGGTTACGTAGCATTCGAATTCCTCGGACAGGTCATTGAAATCACTCGGTTACTCTTTTGTAACGATGTCGAAAAGAAATTGACTAATCGCAAACTTTCTGGATATCGTTTTCAACGCGATCTATGTGCTGTGTGTGAAAAAAGTTCCTATGTTCTTTCCATCTCAACAGTACCCCGCCGTGTCTTATCTTGATTTATTGAGTATTACTCATAACCACGTTTAATCTGTGATTGTCGACAAAATTAGTTTCGGTTCGAACGAACGCTGAGAACCGATCTTGTCTAACCGTTCAAGGCTGGATCACAGAAACCCAGAAAACAGCGAAGGCGCAAACCTTTCTACCTGAATCTAAAGGAGCCCCGCAGTAGGTATGGCTAGAGACTGGTGTATAACCCTCAGATTTAGGGCTGCCACGGTTGGTATCGATTTGCCGCGCGTTTCCACCACGTGATTAGAAAAACGGTTGGGTTCGTCAGTGTGGCAGCAGGGGCTCAGGGGCGAGACAGGAGGAGGGGTTGAGACCTTGGCCCAGGTAATTTCCATGAGAAAAGGTGTCACCGCTTCTGAATTTCTGGAGGCTCAATCGCCAGAATTAAAGCAAGAAGGTGCACGAGCCGGTGCACACGCACAACAAAAGATTAAGTCCCAGTATGGCTTAATCTGGGCTGAACCTTGAGTTTTCGTTACTCCCTGGAACAGCGTAACCTCGTGGCTGATATTAACGTTAACGTGGACTTCGATCAGGCGGTATTTGAATTGTTTACTGGGAAAAATTGTACCGTTTACTCTATAATTAGAAATTGTATATATACTTAATGATATTAGGGTCGTACTGACAGATCTAATCTAATCGTCTTCCAGGGAACGTTAAAAATTGTTACTGGATCGATAACTAGGCGCGACACTCTCTTTCAACGTAAATACGCGTTATACATTCACACTATAGCCACCTTTCTGGAATCTTCGGACTATCGTATGACTGTTTGCCTCCTGGATTTCGTGAATAAGCAGACTAATTCTGAACAAATTGTCAGAACTTTTGTTTCGTTGAGTATTTATGTGTACAATGAGACAGGTTATACACATGGTGACACTATATTAGTCTATGTATGATTATTCGTGTTATCTGACATAACGGAATTATAAAATTAAGCAAAGTGAAAATTCATCAGTTATTTTTACTTCCGACAATAGCTTACGGTACGACTTTCGAAATAACTGACGCGCGTCGGTTACGTACACACAGAGTATGACTAAAAGAATCTAACGGTACATTCTCGCGGTTATATTAAAGCAAACATAAAAAGGGCTAAGCATCTTATCGTATTCTTGTTTGCACAGAGAGCCGATAATATCATAGCCGTATCACTTTTTTTTGGTTGGAAATCCATGGAATTATCGATAGAATTAATAATCAGGACGGAATGGTCGATTCTCGAAATAATCGAGACCACGGGATTAATGTAATCATTACGTGCTATTGCATCTTACTTGATAACAAACGCTATTATCTTAGAACGGAAGAATTATTTTTCCAGTCAATTAAATTTAAAGAACTTAAAGTCACTGGTGTTCAGTATAATTTTTCATTGCATCAGGACCTCCACACCTCGTTCCGGTCGAACAATAAAATAACAACAATCGATGACGCAACCGAACGCAATTTATTTTCTCGTCGCACCAACTGCAGCATGAACATCGGCGGCGGTTCTAGAAAACCGGAGAGCTGAACGAAGACAACAAGTGCCCCCCAGAGCAAGGGCTTTCTATTACTTTTTTCCCCCGTGTTGTGCATCTTAACGCGTAGAGTGCACTACTTCCTCTTCTAGTTGCCCAACTAACAAATTAACCTACATCTCTGATTTCATTTTACGATCGAATGGAGGTGCAACGGTGCATAAACCAGCGATAAAACGTTCCCAATACGATATTCGAACAATTGTCTAATTAAAATCTGAATAATACTACTGTAACAACTTAACAAAAACATAGATTAAGCATTCTATTCTAACGGTTTCTATGTGTGTGAAAATCACGAAACAGGTCACCAATTTCAACTGCAATTGTTCGACCAACGATAAAAATCGTCGAACCTCTATCGCTAATCGATCGATTGGTGCTGGCACGACCTGATTTTCCACGTGCGGCCGTTTTCGCAATTCGCGTGTCGTCAAACTTCGAATCCGCAACGCGCGCGCGGGGAATTATACCGCGCTAGGGTTTCGCGACGATGCACTCTCGATGGCCGGCGACGATGACAGCCGGTCTGGAGGACAGAACCGCTAAAGAAACGCGCCACACAGACAGCGAGCGACCACAATAATCCTGGCTGTGCACCACCGACTGTCTCAGGGTTAGCCGTCTTCTAGACTTTCGGTATCGATTACGTTCGGGTATCGACCTGTTGATTCTACGCCGGTTTCTATCGACAGCATGCTGTATGTATCGTGTTCTCCACAGAAGACGATTTTCTTAGATAACCAAATATGAAATTATAGTTTTTATAAAAAATCACCAATAAAGAATGTCACCTTTATGTCGTGTGCACATAGGTTTTCTAGGACAGATACAAGGGAATCGTGGAATGTTACACACCAATTTCGATGAAAAATAAATGAGAGTAAATAGTTTACAAGATAATTAGAAATAAAGATCACATGTTATTAGATAGTGAATAAAGTCTGTTCACTACATTTCTACAAAGTTTCATTAAAATCGGTGGGTAACATGTCGTACTGTTTGTGGTTAGTTTACCGTATTACCCTAGTGAGTGAGCTATCGCCATAGATGAAAGCTTTGATCATTATTGGCATAGAGTGTGTAAATGCAGTCGTAAATTACGTTCAATCGGCTACGTTTACTTTTCTATTCGTTCAATGAGACGAAACGATTATAGTCTTATATTTATTGTTACTGTCTGTAACCAACATCGAACCAGGGGTCCTATAGTTTGAGATTTTATCAACGTCACATGAAAGTTCCTAGATCGTTTTCCCGCCACAAGAATGCATTGCTATTGTAATTATTATGCTCGAGCACAGTTATGCGCCATAGTGAAAAGTTTACCACCCCTCACTTTAGTTGACGTAGATTATAGTACATTTTATGATTGTATAAAACATTAACAATTTTCTTCTTCATCTTTAATTACAGATTATCATTTATTCGTGTATTTCGTAAATCCTCACCTAACCTCACCCAAGCCCCGTGCTCATTGTGTTTAACGGATAATATGTACTAGCTTGGTACTTGAAATAAAAAAACTTTACGATATCTAGTAACTGTACAGTGAATTACGAAAAATGACGAATCAAAGTACGTTTTATCGTCGGTTCAATGTGTGCGTGCGATAAAAGTGTACCAAAAACGAATCTGTTCACTCGGCGTCCATTTATCGCGAGTTAATTCGGGACAAGTTTTTTCCCTCGATTATGCACGAATCGCCGTATCGCGGTGTATTTACGGATCTCCTTGAGACTGGATATGTTCGTTAGTCGTTTTTTCGAAGCGTTCGAGATTTCGCCGGGAAACAATCGAGAAATGTGACCGCACGCCCCCGTGGACGTAAAAAAGTAACCTGTGTCCCGTAAGAAGCATCGCGTGTCAACATCGTGATATCGCGGGAAGCAACAGATCGCTATCTAAAAGGTGGTAACAGAATAAACTTTTGATTGAGCGAGCTCGTCGACTTTGAAATAATGAAAGTGCAAATAAAACGGTAGGGGGAGGGGGGGCTAAACGAGCAATCGGTGTTTTAAAAGCCGATACTGGCCGATAAAACTAACCCTCAGATTCCTTTTATCTAGCATTTATACAACGTTGGTACACAGTACACACTGTTACGATTGATACGTTGAAAACGTGTTTCAAAATCTCTACGGACAAAAAAAGAAGGGAATACAAAAACAGAGTAAAAATAATCAAACAATTTTTACAGAACACCTCTTTACTACCGACTTATTCGTACAATAAAAAACGACATCCCGATTGTTCACTCTCCCTCTCTCTTCTTAACTATGATTAAAACAGTACAAAATACTATTTCTCTGCGGTACGGTTACCTTTAGACTCGAAACAAGAATATCGATGTTATCGTGTAAACGTTACGGTTCACGATAACATTGTTTTCTCGCGAAGCACGAATCTAATCTACGTCGGTAATCACGACGTCTGCAACGGAAAAAAAAATGAAAAAAAAAGAATGAAACAAGTGTCCCCGATAGGTAGAAGCAAACGAACGGAAGAAAGTGTCCGGCGTGTTCCGGCGTGCCGGGTGTATAGGCGATAATCTTTTCCGATCAGTCGAAACAGGACTCACCTTTTGAAAGGCGAAAAGATCCTTGTGCAGTTTCTGTCGCTCGGCCGTGGGTTGCTGGCCCTTCCCCCTGATGAACTTCAGCATCTCTGTCAGCCGTACGTTTTCTCTGGCGCGGCGCGACACACACACACACACACACACACACCACACGTCCGTTAAAAGACGGTTAATCCTCACTCCCGGTGGAAGGCGCGCACGCGATCGCGTATCATCCAAGTGTGGTCGTGAAGGGCTCGCTAGGACCGCGGCACCTCCCCGTAATTAAAACATTCTTGAATGGAACGGTGGAAACTGTGTGACGCGAGGCGCGCGCGCGTTCACTCGCCGCGGGTACCGCACAATACCGTATTCCGTCGGTGCGTTCGACCGCTACACACGTCCGTCTGATACGCCTGCACACGTCAGTCCCCTGTCTCTTTCACGCCGTGTCCTCCTCCTTCCGTCCGTTCTTCCTTCCTACTTTTTCTCCCTTTCACGCGCACCCTCTGTCCTTCTCGCTCCTGTACTCGTTCACCGTATCCAGCCTGCCTCCTCTGACTGATGTGTCAGCCGCTTCGCGTTTTCCGGCAACGTTCCGCGGAAAATTCGTTACGGTTCTGCAAAAGTTTGGTCTCGAACGGCTGGTATCACGACACCGTGGCCTCCTGTGCGACTCACGATACGAACCGACACGTAAAAACCATTGAAATACACGGACAGAGGCGTGAAGTCATTCCACGTCTGTCGCTCGCGTCTCTCGTGTCTTTTGCCGTCGCGTCGGCTCTCCGCCAATCACGAGCCTCGGTATGGCTCGTACACGCTCGGGACGAATCGGCTAAGCTCGACTCACCTCGGGACCGAAAGCCTGCTCGGGCGCGCCCGCACGAACAATGACCTCGATCAGGCCTGCCAAACCTTTGCAGTGGAATACCCGCTTTCACTCGGTTCAGTTGCTAAACTAGAGAGCGCTGTCGGGAATCTGCAGAGGGGATATCCCTCTTTCGAATACGCTATCTTTAACAATGTTCTTTACTGTAAATCGGGATGAATATTACTTAAATATATCGATCTACAAATCTACCAGCGTTTGAACATTATGCAGTTACATCAGAACTGCATAATTATACACGAAATTTTATTGCAGCTGGTTATTGAAATTTTTATTCCAAACATGATTCAGGAAGTCACGTGTTAGAATGATTTCCTGCGGTGTGTAATCCCCCGTGTTCGTGACCAAGACTGTTTACAGTAATTACAACTGTAATTACATGCATGCAAACAATATTGTTTTACTTCGAAGACAATGAATATTTTTCATTTGATTTCAAAATATACATATATTTTTATTGTTGAAATATGTACAAGTACATATAAATACATTTGTTTGTATATAATAATATTACCCTAGTCTCGTTAAAAATTTATGTTACAAAAGTCACATATGTTACAAAAATGCACATGAAATTGATCGTTGAACAACATATTGTATAAAATATTTTATAAATTAAATGTCATGTTTATGTACTATCTGCTCGTTCAGATAAAAGTTTCTGGAATAACAACTGTTAATTAATTCATTGGATATTAATATGTAAATACGAAGCCACAAAAGCCCTTAGGATTTTATTAATATTTTCTGTAGTTTTTAAATCTATGTTGTCACGATTATCACCTGATTTATGCCAAAATGGTGGAAAAGGATACGGTATCATGTGTAAGATTGGAATGTCTGAAATACATATTTATAGTAAATACATGACACATACAAAATTTATTAACAGTTTGAGTATCACGCAGCGCGATTGCGCTGTTCAGATTTTATATCAAAAAGTGTCACTGTATTAACGGTTTTTCCTTTCGATTTTGACGGGAATATTATGAAAAACGACATCTTAGCACTCATCTACATGAAACGAAACAAGCGCGATCGCGTCGCTTGGCACTTTTTGACAAAGTTTCTGCAATGACCCCTGGCACTGAAACATTTAATATGCTACATTTATTGCTCACCTTTTCGTAAAAATGGAATGTGATCATCCTCGATGTTAGCTTCCATAGAATATGGTTGAAAATATCTTTGAGCTGGTTGCCCGTAAGAGTATGATTCAAACTTTCTGGAACTGGCTAACTTAGTTTCAATAGCCATTAATAAAGAGTACCATTTTTCTGTGTTACTGAAATAATTATAAAATGTTGGATCTGGAGCACCTATTAAATCCAAAAGAACTAATATGTCCTGTGAAGATAAAAAAGTAGTTTAAAATTGTGAAAGTTTAGCCACAGTTAAAAGACACTTACAAGTTTATCTAAATCAGAAATATTTTCTCCATTTTCATAAGTGGTGTAATTGTTGTTCCAAATCTGAGCTAAGTGTCTTGCACCATAGATGGAATCTTTTGGGCCCCATTCTTTAAATGCTTCTTCACCGTCAAAGAATATAAACATCAGACTAATGTCATTCTGAAAATATTACAACTCAGTGTATGGAATTGAATATAATTATTAAAAGTATATTTCTTACTTGTTTCACAGAGTTCAGATGATCCTTCATGACTTTAGCGAGATTGATTATTTGAGCACATGGTACTGCACTATCCGTGGCACCGATAAAATTTCTTTCTCTAGTATATTTTGAATCATAATGGCAAGCTATTGCCAAGTACCTTCGTGCATTAGGGTTCAATTTGGCAATTATATTTTCAAATTCTAATGAACCGAAAGTAGGTGTGTCTTCTTTGAAAACATCAGATTCTACTTTCCAATCAAGTTCTTGCATTGACTTCTTGATGTACTATGAGGAAAACAAATGTTCTTATCAGTGTTTGTGGTTTCATACCATATTTATAAACTATGCATCTAAATTAAGAATATGATGCTTGAATAAGTATGTTTCCATTAAATCTTCAGACTTAACTGAAAATTTAATATTAGATAATATTAAATGCATAGCATATCATGTAAAACATCGAATTCTATAATTTTGTAGACTCACATTTTTTACATTTGTGTGTTCCGGAGTACCGACGATCCTCACTACACATATGTTATCTAAAACCTCGTCCATGTGAGAGACATTTGACAGATCCGACAATCTGTGCATCTGAGTTCTTGATAACGTAATTGGCTTGTGATAGTACTGGAATTATTTCATGACTGTAACTGATGCATGCGAACGATCGTCAATCAGAACATGTATTATGAAAGATGATAGAAGATGAATACATGAAGAAAGAATAAAAGTGGATTAAAAAGAAAGAAGCGAATTTTACGAATGTGTTTACCATGTACCTTTTCATTTCGGAATAATGATCGTGTCGGAGCGCCCGCATAGATCGTAAATGGACCGACGAGGACCAGAAAAATTTTTAAAAGAAAATGAAACATGTTCACGTATCGTAGCGAGCTTGTGCTCAACTGGATGCCGCCAAGCTTCCATTGTCGCTTTTACATTAACGTCGCCATTTTGAAGATGATGCCCACGTGACGATGTCCACAGATTTCAATTTCTATTGGCTGAACGCGTCAAACAATGCATTCATTGGTTGATTTTTCTCTGTATCCTTCAAAAATCTTTCGGACACATAACGGTTTTGAGTGATGTTATGAGAAGTGACAGCGTGTTAATTATTCCTCCTTCTTTTGAAATTTACAGTTGGTGTAAATGACATAGTGTGATCGTAAAAACGCATGACAAGCGAATCCCATTAATGTTGCAAGTTTTTTTTATATTATCCTGAACGAGGTTTATTATTTCAAGATCCTTTATATCCCAGGTTTCCTTCAGTTTCTTGTGCTAGCATCCTAAACATTAACGTTAGTCGTTTAATCCCCGATCAAAATAATGATCACATTATCTCTTCCACCAAAAGTGTTGTATTTTCAAATTAACTTGTGATTATCTAGACAATTTCAGTAGTGCATTATTCATTGAATCTATATAACCGGCATGAAACCGGTTTCATTTTATGGGCCAAGTTTTCAGTGGAAGGAGAAACAAAAGGGTTGTACTGGAAGCTGATGGGTAAGTGAAAGAGAATACTTGTTTGTAACGTATCGAATATATTAAACAAGTTTCAACGATACGTCGCATCGTTTATAGTACATAAAGGGTTATGGTATTCCATTTTTTTTTTTTTGAAAACATTGAACTTTACACGATCGTTTTAATGTTTTCTTCGATAAAAAATAAAGTTTGCGTAAACAAAGAATTATACTTACACTAAGATTCTCTTAACCTGTCTAACTTACGGTGATGGTCCAGCGATTCGAACATTACGTTAACGAACGAATGAACGAATGGAAGACGGAAGATAGAGGTTGAACTAAGTCCGATTTAATTTATTTACTCAAAGGTATATATAAAGTAATTGAATTATCTTTTGTCTCTTAATACCTTATGTAAAGATACCGCAATAAGAAGTCTTACACATTGCCGTTATTATAAGAGAGAGAGAGAGAGGGGGATCTATACGTATATGTATTAGAAAGTATAGCGAATCGATGACGGGTCGTTCATATGAAACGAGATATTATGTGAATGAAACGATGCACCTATTTTACGCTTTCTGCCATTTACATCGATCTGACTAACGGATATTTCTCTTGCACCATGCTGCCGAATTTTTCTAACGTCTTCGATCGAAAATTTCTATTCTCGATCAGAGTATCGATAAACGGAAGTTTCACCGCAGTATAAAATGTACTTTCTTCTTAGCTTGTTGACGCTAATCACATTCGGTATTCAACTGTCAAGCGATGATTTCACTTTACTATTAAGTACCATTAATCTTCGAATTAACGAATGTATTGCATGCGAAAGGAAACATATAGAAGGCACTTTCTTTATACATTGCTGCCAATTGAAGAGCAAGGTACTTCAAATTATGTCACCACATGAAATCAACGATTCAAAATTTAATGCTTATCGCATTACAATACGTTCATAAAGTTTATAGGATCTTACGAGGGACATGTTGAATGCCAACGTTTCTCATCCCCTTGAGAAAGATCACGTGTAACCAATCAATATCGTGCAATGATGAAGTAACATTCGAAACACAGTTATTATTATAATTATTAGTATTACCATTAACTATCATTATTGTTCTAGCACGGTCAACACGTACGAAGCATAATACGTTTTTAAATTGGAAAAATATATATACAGAGCATACCGTAATTCCTTGTGCAATGCCTTTCAATGACTCGTCGCGTTCGGAAAATAATATCTAGCAGCTCCTCAACATGGTTTCATTGTCCGTTTAAATTAAGATTCCACTTGAGATAAAGAAAACCAAATGATACTGATTTCTATACATTACTGGACTACTATGAAAGAAGGAATTCAATAAACCATCGAGTCAGTTAAAGGTGAGAGGGTTAAGGCAGCTATTAATACGTTTCGTTTAAAAAAAAAAGTGGTGGTATTCACATACATTAGAAACACTACGCAATTGTAAGGCTATTCCTACCCTAAACGAACAACAGCAACGCCACGAATCGTTACAAGGCTTTACACCACAAATTACAGGGTACCCTCTGTACAAGATCATCTCAATTCTAGGTAATTACGCCCTGGGGCTTTTTTGAGCAACTGTCTCTCTCGCGAGTCGAACTGAACGCCGGTTCGTAGCGGTTCACGTGCCAAACGAAATTCCCGTCGAACGTGAAATCGGCGTCGACGACAGTGGGGTCCACCAGGGTGCGCACCAGAATGTCCGTAAAGTAACTAGATCTAAGATACATGTTAAATTATGTCTAAGGCGGGACCCCAAGGTCGTCACTGTTCCATTTCGTTTTCTCCGTTCGCGCGGGTATGGTTTGGATCGATTTCGATAGCTTAGTGGTTGTTTTTTTTCTCATTTTGTTTATCGTTCCCCTGGGAAACATCGTTGACCAGATTCGTTTTTGTTCATTCGAGCACGTTCACTGGCTCTTTCGAGATTGTCCTCCTCTGTCCGACGCGTGATGACGTGTGTGTGTTTGTGTGTGGGGGCTGCAGCTGCTCTCAGTAGTTGTACGGTCCGTATTGCGATCCGTGATAGTACGGCCCTGGATACGCCGCAGGAGCTGGATACCCGGCGTACGCGTACTGTTGCTTTTGAGGATATACTGGAAAATTCATGAGAACGTGGCTGTTAGTTCGGCCTGTTTCGTTCCGCTGGTGGTTCTTAGCCTACCGCGTAATTCTGTTTTCCCCGTGTTAAAGGAATCTGTTGTTATTCGTAGGATGCTTTGGCGCGTTTGAAAAACGGCGGGGAGCTCGAGTGAATCTATATATATATAGGGTGTTTTATATTAACGGAAAATTATATTTGAATACTAGTGTATATTTAGAAAGGCATTGATGACCTTGTAATGACCTCAAAGTCAGTACTTTCAAGTGTTCTCCTAATTTGAAGTATTGAATAGCAGGTCCTTGTATTGTGACACCCTATATATTGCCGTTGTGAAACGGGAGGCTAAGAACCACTTTTATACGCTCATGATTCTACTTATGCAATTCAACTGGGTATTTGTACTCGTCTCGAACAAAGTTTTTTCTTTCGACTAATAATTCCGATTACTTCTGAAGTGAACTCTATGCCTTGACATTAGACCATGGACTTCGATCTCTCGATAATTACAGTCTTTAATATAAACAATTTCCGCTTGCGTGAGTATTTTATTGATCTATCCGTTTGATTGAATAACCCGGTGCGAGACAAATCGAATGTGTAGGTAAAACCTTTTTCTTGTGGGCGTTCGATACAATCGAGGAAATTCGATTATTGTCTCCAGAGAGGTTAAGCGTGCTCTATTATTCGTCTTTGCAATGTCTACCTACTGATTCGGATACGGCAGACTCAACTGTACTTGTTAAACATTCCCATAAATATAATTGCTCTTAATTTATTATTCGTATAATTGGTAGCTATCAACAATCTGAATATTTTTCGATCGCTCTGTTTGACCTTCTTCCGAGTCACGGCCATTGTGGTACACGTTTGAAATAGAAAGGGAATCGTAGAAGCGAACCTGCTCGTCCTTCCCCCATTAGAACCCATTCTACACCGCGCTGAATACACAAACGCAATGGAATCATTCGTGTGCTGGAAGTAAAATTAGGCAAGTGTGTCGCTTTCGACGAATCTAGTTAAAAGCTACCTAGTGGGTACACATTACACGACGGTTTCCAGTTTTTTAATGTCTTCGTGAAAAGTATCGCCGCGTTAAATACGGGTTTAGTGACACCAGGGGCCACTGATCTCGAACCAAATTGGTAGAAACTCTTGTCGACGTTTTAACAGTGAAATTTATCGTATACACCTCGGTCAGGTGTACTGTGTAGAACGAAATGGGGGGCCTCGAGACGATTTCAACCAACGAAACATTATAGGAGACCGTTTAAAAGAGTCGTGAAAGATGATTATCGATCATCGAAAACGACCATTTCTGGCTAGAAAGTTTCCCGCAGGAGCGTACCGTGACAGAATCGCTCTAATCCGCGATGGAAACAGAGCGTGAGCCGAGTAAGAGTTCTGCCAAGACGAATAATCGAGTATTCTTTTTCTCACGGTGATGTCCAACCATCGAATCTATCGATTCGTCTCGCGACACGCAGCTTCGTTTTTCAAACTAACAAGCATTTATTCCACCTGTACGTACGTGACAGTCGACCAGTACATTATGTACAGATTATTTTGTTCTTTTAACGTTCTCTAGTTAGGATGTTAAAGAAGCGAACAACCTTTCGTCTCGTTTTCTGAATGGTGTACTCAGAGATTAGTTTGGATTTCGTTTGTTAAATCTATGATTACTTGACCAGGAACGAGTAGTATTTTCGTTCCTGTTGATTGTAGTAATCAAAGGTGGGACTTATTGGTACTCTACTACTAATAATGGCAATTTACTATAATGTAACTTTTAATTCGTTGATATAGACACAATTCAAGGTATGTTCCGATAAATATCGAAGATTCAACAAGTGTTTGAAATCTGGTTTTTAATTTTAGTGTATGTATTGAGTTACTTCTGTTGCATAGTAACGAGCTATGCAATTTTCTCCAATTCCAGTTCAACGATTTCTATTTTATGTAATGCTCAATTAGTAAGCTTACCGGAGCATTAATAATATTGCTTCTGTATCAACCTTTTTTCTGCGGATTTCTATTATATATTTCTATTAACCTGACTTGAGTTAGTGGAATGTCATTTTCGGTGTCAACCCAGTAATCATGAATCAAAGTTAGTGGAACACGCTGTACACGCAGACTTCTGTTTCGTTGCCGACGAATACTATAGTAATTTCCATTTCATTAGTTACAACGGAGCAATTTTTATTAGTTTCTTGTTCAAGAAGTTCTGAAATAATTCTCCATATAGCCAGTTCGATGTATTACCCGATTTCTGTAAGTTTTAACACGTTCATTAGCGGCATTTAATTCTCCAAACACAATCAATTTCTAAACAGAGACATTCAAAATCTTCTAAATATAATTAGGACTATAATATAGAGAGTACAAGTTAACCTCTAGATATTTGTATTCTCAGTAGGAAAACTTTTTGCAGTAAACGTATTACTTCGTTCCCTATAGCTTATGCTTCCTGACTATCCCCTATACGATCGCCTCCAAAGTTGTTGCTTCTCTAAGTGCGAATTCCCTAACTGGGGATCCCCTAACTGAAAGTCCCCCGACAGAAGATTCCCTAACTGAAGGTCCCCTAACTGGAGATTGCCTAATTGGGGATCCCCTAACTGAGGATCCCCTAACCGAGGATCCCCTAATTGAGGATCCCCTAACCGACGATCCCCCAACTGAGGATCCCCTAACTGAAGGTCCCCTAACTGTAGATTCCCTAATTGGGGATCCTCTAACTGGTGATCCCCTAACACCAGAAGTCTGCGTGCATCAATCGCGTTCGTGGCGAAAGCAAAACGGTGTTAAATATGTACCAGGCATGAGGTACTGCATGTTCATCGCCTCCTCGCGCATTCTCTCGCCCCTCAAGCAAATCGCCGCAGCGCTAAACAAGATCGCGCTGACCAACGACCAACCGACGCCGACCCAAGCGACCACGTACGACCAGTCGTACGAGATTAGTGAGTTGTCCTTCAGGACCTTGGCGGGGCCCGCGTTACCGAGAAAAAAAGAACACAAGATACGGGGAAAGGTTAGTCCGGTCCGGTTTCATGGTTATCGTGTCACCTGGCATGATGTACTGAACGTTTTGTGCCTGTTCGCGGGCATGCTCCCGTCGCAGGCAGGACGCCGCGATCAGGAATAGCGTCATCGTGCCTAAACAAGTCGCCACCCCCAGCCAGGCAAGATAAAACGACCATCCATACCACTGCACCGCGTTGTCCTTTAATACCTGCGGGCAAATTTCTATGTGAAACATTACTGATCGCTCGTTCTGGGTCCTTCTCCTCGTCCGTGGATCACTTGGACCATCGATGAACCCTTTGACGGTTTAGCCTAAAGAAAAGGAAAATACTCCTGGGTCGTTTTTCTAGTCATCATTGGTGAAAGCAGCTGGTCATCTGGCTGCAACTGAACTCTCAGAAATCTGAATAGTAAAATAAGGCGATCTGGATATGAATAAGTAAATCTGGAATCTTCTCTAATTTTAGCCTACTGCATGCTCCTCGAATGCCACGGGCAGTTCCGTTTTGTAATCCTTGTTGCAATAGAAAAATGTAAAGTGTTCCTTTTTCACTGACAAGTAAGATGATCTAATATCACTGATAATAAGTTTATGATAACACTTTGGGATGAGTACTATTGAAAGCAGAGATCGTTTCTGTGATTAAAGCATCTTACTTTTTTGCGATTGGTTTTGGAATTATTGAAACGCAACGTTCGAATCTCAGAACTTCAGGTGCCATTATATGCTATCAAGATCATTACCCAAAGATCTCGTTCGTCCAGAGATAACAAATTTTTCGTCTGATATTTAAAACGAACCGCGACTTTCTAAGTTACACAAGTCCGTCGCTGCAACGAGTTATTAATCGAATCCTAATGCAGGCTTTAATCGAAACAGGAAATTTACAAGCAATGACGTAACTAATATCAGTATTTAATTACTAGGAAACTCGTAGGAGTGTTGATAAATGTCAATGGTGAATGTGAAATTTTTAACCGGTGCGTCGATCGTTGGGACTCGAACGTCTGCGAGTATTGGTATCAAGCCAACTGTTGGTCGAGTGATATTGAGTACTCACGTTTGTCCATTGCTGATAGTACTCTTCTCCTACGATCTTCTCTTTCTCGTAGTATTCAACCCCATGCCAGAGTCCCATCGCGCTGGCGCTCAGTAAACCTGGATCATTCAATGATCTTGATTCTCATACAGAAATTAACAATGTTAATAAAATACTTATACTAACTTAGAAATTTATCTAAAAGAAGATCAGTGGTCTTGCTAAAACGAGTATCGACAAGAGAAAATCAATTTCTTTTTAAAGATTCTTGCTACAGTAGATTTATTGAGAAGTTGGGAGTTATCACAGTTTTTCACTTTCGATACCCTCCCAGTAATTAAGTAGATCGATTTAGATTTAGATTCGATACTTATGAATAGACTGAATTTTATGCATTTATAGCCCATAGTTGTCTGTGAAATACAGTAAAAGACAAAACTTTCATTAAATACAACGACTTTTCTATTTTATTCTTAACCCAATAAAATACGTAAGGCAATAAAGAAAATCCTACTTTTATTCTTGTCCCTATAAATTGCTTTATAAAATGTGATATTGCATAAAAATCCGCAGTCTACTTAGGAGTATTCTACTGACATGCCAGCAGCATCAGAATCGCTGTCGCCGTGATATTTCCGGGCGACCTCTTCCAGCAGCCCACCACTCCCGTCCAGAATGCGGTGAAGATCGCGACGAATCCCACTATAAACAGACCTATCACCGATCTGCCCATGTCTGAAAAACAGTAATAACACCGTGACTGAAATAATAATCGAAGATACCATGTCTGAATGATGCAACTGTTCGTCATTTTTATTACTTACGAAGTCGAGTCATTGCGTCGTCGGAGAAGCCTCTCGTGAGATTCTCCTCGTCAGGGATGAAGTAGTTGACGTTCATGCAGTGCGTCTCCACTGGGCTCAGATATGTCTGAACTGCAACAATATAAGTGGTAATAATATTAATTACAGTATTAATAGTTTCATTGCATGGTCATACCGATTGATGCGTTCAACGCGATAGATTACCCTTACGTTGTGTGTACGTTCATCTTGTTTAATTTTTGGATTCTTATAATTTATTTCCAATTGTGTGAAATAGATAAAATACAAAACCTACGTCGGATTTAATAAATATAGGGGATGGTTTTTCCCTAATAAATGTTTTCTTTTATCCATAAGTCGATAAAATCCTTAGAGGAAGAAAGGAATTTCTGCGTTTACGTTGTTTTATGTAAACTTCCGCAGTCTGGTTATGCTTTCACGTGAATGTGTTAGTTAATGATTTCTTGTTCGTTTTTAACTGTGAATAATAATCTCAGCACTAATCCGATAGGAGTAAATTAACATGGTAGAAAAATTGGATGTTACCATCAAAAGTATGTATATGTATAAATGAACTATGGTAGACGAAAGCGTGAACCGGAAGTGCCACCGTAGCCATTGGAGCCACTCTAAGTTTACGTGCAATAGGCTACGAAGATTGTTCCTAAACTTGAAAACGAGCTACTTCTGCAACGTTATAACCATTGTTACTACCACATCAACTTTCACTGAACATTAACGCTTGAATAACAACTGGCTCGTCATTTTGGGAGAAAATAATTTCGTTCGTTTGATTGCACTTTGTATTAGCGATACGCGAAAGGGGAAGAATTCGACTGTAGTTAATTTTGCAACCAGTCCATTAGACACGTGCGCTCGTTCGTGCGCGATTCCGTTCGGTGAAATCAGCGAGTTTCCATGACGAATTTCCATGTCTGTCCCCAATTAGCCGCCGTGAAGCTTCCTAAATTGGCGACGATTTTCGTAACTTATACGGATCTCTGAGTAACATGCACCAGTTCAGAATTCGATTAATTAACTTCCTTCGCGCAACAAGTCAGACTAAACTGCAGCCAAGCCCAGAATTTTCAGTCTAACCTCTGTTTTACATCCCCTGCTCATATGTGGCAGGACACTTATCGAGTGTGCAGTAAATGTTATAAGGCATTACAAAATTTGGGGCAAACCACCCTAAAATTTTCAATCCTTATGTATTGTGATTAAAATAAAAACGACCCACTTTTTTTAGGGAATGTAATCTATCCTTTTCTGAAGAAACATTATTTCTCAACACGATTTCAGACATGGTATACTCCGTTTGTTTTTATTTTAACCAGAATACATAAGAATTGCAACTTTTAGGATGGTTTTATAGTTATGCCACGCAGTGTATATTGTATATAAAAATAAGAAATCACAAGAATTTATTACGGTATCAATACCGAGTAAAGAAGTCGACTGAATAGAGGTGCAAGAATGTAATAGATGGAGGGGAAAAAACGGCGGGTATTTTTAAATTACGGCCTGTCCCGATGGCGTACCGCGCACGCGCGGTATCGAAAAGCACGTGACCCAGAATGCAACGCGCTATCACCGGCTGCAGAGCGCGGTACACGCGTCGTCGTTCGATGTGTGTACTCATAACTCCCCACAGCCGGTTCGCCTCTTTCAACGGTACCTCCGCGGCGCTCCATTCCTAATCTACGAAATACACACTACACGCATACTTTCGAAAGACATCTCCGCGTAGCCAGGTGAAAAGAAAAAGTCGCGCGGCTAATGTCGCGGCGATGCTTTCACGGTTTCCTGTCTTTCTCGGAATCCCCGACAGAGAAAACGGCAATCGGATTAATTGCGACGCGAGCCGGCCTTCTCCTTTGCTACTCTTCTTTTCCCTTCAATGGCGAATCACAACAAGACCGCCCCATCAATGTACCCGGTGTCCCGTTTCACGAACAACGAACGTATATAAACATAATGACGAGAATGTTGAACCTAAACTTGACATTGTATTCTGGTTGCCTATAGTTCATATAATTGTGTCTGGTGTTGTATAAAATGATAGAGAAACGGAGTGGATTGTTAGGTGTTTCTATTCAACCCAGAATTTCTGAAGAAAATTGAGAAATTTCTGCGGTGGTTCTACCAGACTTTATCCGTAAGTTAAGACGACGACTGTCGTAGTGGTCATTGGTAGACTGGACTTAATCTTTGGTCTCCACAGATGGTCAAGATTCAAGGTGTCTTATAATTTGTGGTACTATCGAAAAGGGGATTACAATCTTTGGTCTTTATAGATAACCCAGATTGAAGGTGTCTCACAATTTGTGGTACCACAGAAAAGGAAATTACTGGAGGCTTCACCGTACTCGTGAACGGTGCAGTGTAACTCGATTGCCTGATCAAGCTATCACACCTGTGCCGAAGGTGAACGATGCGTCGCGCGCACCACTCGCGTACCGTTTGAAACGCAATTTGACATTCAGGCCGGCAACGGACGGTTTCCTCGACCTTCTTCGAATTCTAGTTTCGCCTAAACGAGGCGCCATGCCAAGATCGTTGACACCGTGGTTAACTGTACACCAGGTTAAGGTACCGGGCGGGCGTCACATCGCCACGGTTCAGGAAGAGGAACCCGTGGACACGACACTCATAGGACCTGTCCTCTTCCTTTTGTACCGACCTCGTGATTACGACCGGATAAGAGAAGGAAAAAGGTGGTGGTGGGGGTAAAAGACGACGGAATGTACAAAATTCCCCGAAACCGGTCGTTGACTGGTTTCTTCAAATTTTTTCACGCGAGCAACACCACACACGGCTGCTCGATCGCTCGCTGCGCGCGCCCGTACACCTGACCTCCATTTTGTAGGACGATTTCTGTCCGAAGGTGGGAATATATCGGTGAATAATTTTCGCTGCACCGGAACACAGACCGACCTCGAATCTGCATTAAATTCAATCGATGTTGCGCTAGTATATCGATTGAGGCATTGGCTTCGCTCACGTTCTATGATAACACGTTGAGAGTCACGGTTCACAGACAAATACCATTAAGAAATACCGCTCGATTGAACGAATCGGTATGTTAATTCGATATTTATATTCATTGTGGTACTAAGCGATCCTACTCTTGCCTCTGTCGAGGGTCACGCGCGTCCACGCACGCTAAATAAATCAAATACGGTACCGGAAGCGGAACGCCGGAAGCAAACGGGACGTTAAAGCCGATAAGGTGGTTCGCGGTCGAAGAACGGTACAAGACAGTATACACACGACGACGTATCGATCATTTCGATTGTTTTCCGCACGAACGACGGGAACAAACGTCCGTCGTTGTTCCGATTCCCAAGAATCTCTCGGTACTTTCTATTCACCGGTACCTTCCTCAATCATTTTTTTTCTGCAGCCTCGAATCTAGACGCAGTTAATCATCGACAACGGTAACTTCAACACGTTTAAAATATTTTTTGTAAAATTATCAGCAATCAGAATACAAGTTATTCAATAAATTAATATGGTCACATAAGAGCTGCGTTGTTCTTTAATCCTCATCCGCCTCTTGTGACAATTTAACTCATTTTTCTCCCAAGAAATAATATTATTCTGTCGTGTATAGGTAAATTCAGCTGAAGACTGAGATTTTTATTTGAAAAAAAAATGTTCAAATTTAACCATTTACCTCTTCATTATATTAATTTCTCACCACTCCGTCGATGTGACCCAAGGGACGAATTAAGTCTGGAAAATAAAGGACGGCCGTTTGTTTCCCACCGATCTAACGTCACGAAAAATGATACCAGTCCACTAAATTCCATTGTTTCGAGTGGTACCACCATCACACTGAATACCATCCAGTGCAGGAATCGCACTCGAACCCTGAATAGGAGGCGACAGGACAGTTGCTTCCTCGGTAGGATACAGGTTCCCTCCGTGAAACACGAGACTTCCGGACAAACTGGAACCGCCGTTACGAAGCAGGCCGAAGTTTTAGAAAATGCGTGGCCGCGGGCTCTCATCGTGAGAAAACACGAACCTTTCCGAATAATGGGCCCATAGAATATTCAGCGTTCAGGCGGCTTCAGGTCGGCCAGAACGCGTAAGTGAATGTTGCTCCGTTGATAGGCGTACCGAATTGAACACGGTAGTCGCATCGATTCATCGATGCACAGGATATACGTTTTTGATCCATAATCGTCAGCGATCTGGTTCTACAACTTTGTTGGATTAACTGATTGCCTGATAGTAGGTCGCAGTTATCGAACGGCATTTGATTTTCCATTGCATCGAGGATGTTCAGCTGATCTGGATCACACCGTTTTTAGCGCTAATAATTGGCTTGTAAAATAGTGTCTTTTTATATTTCCTGTGTGGTGGTATCCCCTGTACTCGTAACTAGAGGTTTCTTGGAGAGTACCTTCTTAAATCAATCCTCGAAAGTTCTAGCGTTCACAGCAGGGTCTGTTAAGTAGCTTCACCGATGATTCCGTTAGCAGGTCCACATCGAAACGCTGACAGGCTCCTTTCCATTTCACTCCTTTCTCTCTACTGCCCTATTCTCGTATTATTCTGGCCATCGAACTACCACAAAAAGTTTAAATTTCGACACGTTGATCGTGGTCTCCAGTAGAGGCTTAGTATTAAGTACTATCTAGATATGAGGTAGTTACTGATAAGGAAATTGGAAGTACGTTGAATTTAAGTGGCTCCGATAATAGTAATAATTTTCAACATCAGTGAAGTTATTATACTATTTCATTACTCGAACTAACATACTCAGCTCCTAGGTATTTGTTCTTACTGTCTTCATTTGCAAGCCATGAAATTCCTTGGCACAATGAACCACACGACCCTGTGTTGTCGTCACCTGCATAATTCAAGTCCAGCTACTTTGTGTACGAATATCTATGGATACACGTCCACGAATAGTGCAGGCTAATTGCACGCGCAGGTGCAGCACGCTGGTTCGATCATAGTCGTTTCGTGTTTTGCATAACGCCGCTGTCGTCTTATTGTCGTCGAACTTATACGGCGCGATGGTTTCGCGTATAATTATTGGGAATATTTTTAATTTATAATTGCCCGGTCGATGAATTCACAGTTCGACCATAAGTTGCCCAACTACAAACAGCAAGAATCATCTGTGCACGATATATGTGCGAAAGAATTATCGCATTTGTGGTGTATTCATGGCTGAAAACGATAACTCTCATTGTTCAAACGGCCAGGTCTGGGAAATTCGAGCGTTCATTCTGAATCTGCTGCACTTGGCTCCCTTTCACGAACGCGGTTTCTTTTATTATGCAAAACGAACTTTCCATTTGTCCAACGATTGTGCGTGGTGGATCGCGCGGCGAACGGAAAGAAAACTAGACCGAATGGCTCAAAATTTCGTGAAACTCGTTTTCACTTCTCTGTATCGTGCTCTAACTAGACGACAAAGCGCGTTCTTCCCAGTGTTCTCTTGTTATCCCTTTCTTGCTGTCGTCGCGTGTAACGTTGCTACAGTAGTGTGTTTCATAAAGTATGAATCGAGAATAATAACCAAAAATGATAATAAAAATGGGTATACAAAAGAACATTTCTATTACGTGAACGTTTAACCCTCCATGATCGTACTCGGTCAAATTGACCCAGAATTTGACTTTGAAGTAAAGTATCTTTGATGCACTATTGCAAATTGTACTACTGGCGCCATGTAGTAGCAATTTCAGGTATCTTAAAAAAGCTTCCCTTCAAAATTTTGGTGTACATGTAACGCGTTTCGGTATACATCACAGATCCAAACACGTTCCGATGCATATAATTCGACTCGAATTAGTTCTCGTTCGTTTTCAGCTTTCCCATTACGCGACCGGCTAGAGTTTCCACGCGTCATTACCGTAGAAAGTTGAACGGAAGCAAAAGGCGTTGCTGCTCGTCGGATATTATCGAGTGAAATTAACCACGAATCTTTCGGGACAGAGGATCCAGATAGCATCCCAAAGACGATCGAGATCTAAATGCGTTGCGGTTTGTTGGACAGTTTCTCGAACCTATTCTCCACTACGAGTAAACCAATTTTCCTCGTACCGTTTCACCCTAGGGAGTATTTTTCTAGTATAAATTTTCTTGTATAGAGTCTTTTTTTTGCACGTTTTTAGTTGTACCACGATGCATATAAAAATACGAGGCGCAATGTGAGAAAAAGAGGAAGTACCTCTTTACCTTTTTTTCTCTTTTTTTTCCATTTGGTTGCAAGAACTTTCTATTATAGAATAAAGCTACTATTGTTATCAAACCGTAGAATCAATTTATTTTAATTGATACTTTTTCTTAAAGTAAAAATCAATTTGAAAATTTTTACGAGTCTTGGCAATAATGTCTTTTTGCTGTTGATTATTTCTAATCGTGTTAATTGATACACTGTTCATATAAGTTAATAAAAGTTGAGATAATACAAGTTGAAGATAACGTTAATAAGTAGGGGATAGTAAGATAATACCGTTCTACTGAAACAAAAGTGTGCCCCACAACGATCAAAGAAATGCATCCGTTAATTATTAACCAATCAGCCTGTTATTCATGAAGTTTTTCAGACGAAAACGAACCGCAACGCTGACAGCGGTTAGAGACGCGATTACAGTCGCAACGGTCCACTTATCGAACTAATGTCGACGACAACGATGTCGAGGCGTCGAGGTTTCGCTTCGTGAAAAGAGGAAAACGATTGCAGGTTCTTCGGTCTTGTTGCAAATTAAGTAATTCAGAGCGTTCACGGTCCAATAGTTGCGCAGATCCTCGGGGTAATATGGTTTTTGATGCTGTACCCTAACTCGCGGCAAAAAGATCGAATTTATCTATGATTACCGCGAGATTTCTTTCGTTCTGCAGATCGATGACACAGTTAACCCGTTTTAGACTTGCATAGGAAGTCGATGTGAGGCATAAAAACGAGTTCTGTTCCTTTAAAATGCGACAATTCGAAAAACAGCTATTACTCCAAGATCATGTCAAGGTCACTTCAGGGTCATTTCAAAGTCACTTCTTACTGCGGTCTGTTTCGACATAGTTTTGTATTCGAAGTCCATGTGAGTACTGTTTACAGGAGGTTTAACATAAGTTCCAGAGTTTAAGGTCAGTTTGTCACTTTCGGTTCCTTTATTCCATTTCTTCATCTTCTGAAACCTTCGGTTATTATAACCGTTCATTTGTGGTGTTCTCCACAGAACAATGCTGTGAATATGTTCTTTACAACCACCCTAATAACACAAAAAAAAAAACGAAAGCTGACCGAGGGACCATCGACCGCAGGAAACGCCTAGAAAGACGGAAGATGCGTCGTCCTGTGGACCAACCGCGCGTATTTTATACACACGCGATCAGAGTTTCACGAGATGTTTCCTTTCTCCCAGGTGCTGCGTGCCCGGCCGAGTCGACGATTATAAACTCTTAACCTATTACGTGGGTTCGGATAACCCGCGACATTACGATATCGTAACGTAGAAAGTCTCCAGGGGCAACAGCATCCAAGAGTCTTCGGTCATAACACTCGCGGGATAATCGGTTCCGAGCGTCTCCGAGATCCAGTCACGCAGGTTTTCTCGAAAATCCGACATATCTGTCGTGGAACACGTCCGTTGGATTTTTAAACGTGAAGTCCGTCGGGCATAAAACGAGATTATATAGGGGACAATGGCGATACGTGGCCTCGCGTTACACGGCAGTTAAGTTTTGAAAGTGAGACCGAGCGTGTTGCAAAACTAGGAAATGTATGTAACTTGATTCGTGATTGTACAGGGTATCTCAAAACTGATCGATATAAGATTCCTTAATAATATTCTTTTGGGTTTCTAACAAAGTGTTTTTGTATAATATTCCTGTTTTACGTCTATTCGTGGATTTTATTGGGGAAGCCTGATTGTTTAACTCTTGAACACCCTGTATTACTTCACTGTTAAGGCGAGTAGATACAGTCTAGTAAAATCTAAATAGTGTTTATGTATTATACAGGGGTGTTTTCGTTCAAATCATTTATCATTATCTTCAAATTCTACAGTTTTTTTTTTTATAAAGAAAGATTGTTGTAAAGGTCAGACTCCGTTATCTGGAGTTTCAAGTTGTATACAAACGAGACCTGGAATGTTAATACTTTTCCCGAACAATCAAGGGCATATTTCAAGTGAAGTTTAATCACTAACATTTTTAATTGTATTTTTTCTAGATCACATGTAAACAAGTATGCATTTTTCGGCTTACCAGTGGGCGGCCTCTCTTTCGGATAGCATATCCTGAATAGACCCTGCGTCCTCGTGTAGTAATAGTACTTCGTGTTCATTTGCTCCACCAAGTGGCTCTGCTCGGTATGCTTGGCTGCATATTGCTGCAACAAAACAATTTATCCGAATGATTCACGCTATCCGGGATCCCTTTCGTTTCGTAGTGGTAACCCTCGTTTAACACGGTACGCGGGGATCTAGTAAAACCACCTGCGGTGTGAAAATCAGCAAGAATATGGGCGCTGAGATCATAATATTAGATCGTTCTTAGTTTTTTTGTTTATGTTTTTAGCTGTCGAAAGCTTATCTTTCATTGAAAATAAAATAAATAAATCGTGAATAGTAGTAAATATTTGGCAAACAGGATTTGTTTTCTTCTCCTGGAGCCCAATGACAACCGCGACTCTTCTATTGCTATTTTTAACCTTCCATCACCTTATCTTTAATCATCCGTAAGATCGAAAATCTCGATAAAAAAGAAGAAAGCTTTTCGTAGTCGTATATTGGAAACGTTACAAATTTAATCCCATTGGTCATAAAAATCGGCTCATAAATCAATATTCCTCGGTAAACCCTCGAAAATTGTCTACTAAAAATCGTCTAAAGGGGATCAGAAGTAAATTGGATTGTCGTATCGAATTGCAGGCGAGCCACACGGGTGGTGTTTCGTTTTATGGTAATATTACGATCGTTAGAAAGTATAAGAAAGTGGTAAAGATTGCGATCCCTGCCTCCACGGATGGACGCGGAATAAAGGCGATTCAATGGACCAACTGATAGAGGAGCTGGAAATGCATCGACGTATAAATCACAGGAAATTATTCATGAAACGTGCTCGGTACACGATTTCAGGAAGCCGCGGTTTCCCAACTTCGGTGGGAATTAACGATTATAACCGAGCTACTTGGCGATTGGAGCTTTAACCTTTCGTTATTAACGACAGAAACGATTACAGTCGTTTACCTCACGAAATTGCTTCTGAGGATGAAAGGTTCCCTCTCTGTAATCGTGATCGGTTGATCTTCTTGTGATCGGGTATGATTACAGGAGTCGTACGAAAAGTCGTCTTCGCCACATTATGGGTCTGATTGACGGTAGGCGGGGCTTGCTTTCATTCTGCGAATTGGGGAAAGACGTTAGCCAATGAGATGATCGCAGAATCTTGTCCACTGCTTTCTACAGTCGCCTTGCTGGTCCCTAGCGATGCGACTATAGGAAGGCAAGCTGTACTATAAATGGCCTTTCTGTGTTTTAAGTTAAAGTTTGTCCACAGAATTATCAAGGAATTTCGTACTTTCGACTTGTAACTGAGTAATCCAAGTAGAGCAAATGTCCCAATTACTGCTAGTGTCACTAGTACTGTCACATTATTTCTTTTACTTAATGATAATATAATGTATAAAGAATTGTATACAAAAAATCTTGTTATTAAATTTAGACTATGGGTTTAAATTGGGAGCCGCGATTACAACGGAAGTTGCGGAAACAGGGGAAACCGTGCTCGCGTCACGACTGTACACATGTACGTCAGTTCCATGGACGAGCGAGCGAGTGGTAGCTGCACGACTTCCTGAAGAAACGAAGCTCGCGCGAGCTCTCCGAGAAGGAGGCCTGGAGAGCGCGTTTACTCAGTCGTGTCGGTTCGAGTTCCGGACTTTCTTGCGATCGAGGATGCGGCTCGCATGCCGTCCTCGAAATTAAATGTAATTTCAGATCCTCTATGACAAGCTGGCCGTTGTGTCCGCTGGATCGCGGAACCGTTCTTCTGCATCGTTGACCGGGCACGGGTGTCCTTTTACAGACGTTCGCCGGCATGGAAACTAGTTTCTATTTTTCCTTTCTTACGGACGAACGTTTCTCTTCTCGACTCGACTGTTCCCACGTCCCTCAAGCAGATTCTGTTCCCGACACACTGGTACGTTTAATTATTGTTTATTAGAAGCAGTCAGGGTCACGCATGTTGAAGTCACGTGGCTTGGTGTCTTTTAGGGTAGATGATGTGGACCGAGAAGAGGGATTTAAGGTGATTTAAGGGTATTGGAGAGATTTATGAACGTGATGTACATATTTTTATGCTATTAGGCTTTTTATTTATGTTATTTGGTGACTTGAGAATGTTACTCCCTGAAGTGGAACCCCTTTGTGGACGTAGGCTTGAAGACAACTAACCAGGTAGCTCCTACTGTCAAGAGTACAACGCGAATAACGTAATTAATGTTCGATCTGATAGCATTTTCTCGAGCCCACGAATCCCAGTTGTTTTCTCGACAATTCATTCACTACGGAGGGGACACGAGCGAGAGTATTTATATTGTATTCGTTTGAGAAAAGACCACTGAAAGTGAGCCGTGTGACAAACAGCTTGAGAAAATCGTCCCGGGAGGTGTGGTCCCGTGCGTTGCGAAAGAAAGTGCCGTCAAATAATGCTTTATGGGCTGCCGTGTCTCTCACCGAGACGTGTTCCATTCTTCACTTTTTTGCGGGAGAACAAACTTTACCGTGTAACCGTTCTGATTAGATACTTACTAACAAGAGACAAATACCGTGAATATTATCTTGGACATTAACATTAACCAGCATTTAAAGCTTTGGTTTATCAGAGGTCCGGTGCAACTATGCCACAAAATGTTATTATCCCTTAATTTATAATTACGTGGCTAAATTCCTCTTGCACTGGATCCCTCAATTCGAAAAACAGACTAATGTTGCAAGCAACGAAGATACCATTTAACGTGTAAATATTATTAATTAACCTTAAACAAATATATTTTATATCACAATGTTAATTATAGTCAAACACGTGTAGTCGTATCATTACAGTTTGTGTTGTGGTTACATATTGTCATTCTGTAAATGATCTATTCGTCCAACATATAAACACAGTAAATAGAACAAATTTTCTTAAAATTCCTACGAGACCATTTGCAAGAGATTTGTACATATGTTTATTTTTAACTTCACTGACTTCATCGACTCGAAATGTCTCTAAGAAACTAGTTCATCCCCTATTTGTACTTCGGTTCGAACGAAGACAGGAATGTCGTTACGTAAGAAGCTTCGCCTCTGTTCATCCTCGTCATCGACCCTTTGCCGGCGATCGTTGAGCAACCTGTTAATTATTCACGACTGTTATTTCGATGATTGCCCCGTCGATCCGCTGGAACGAGGGCAACGATGTTAACGTAAATCCACTGTGAATAAGTGCCTATCAAACGTGGTTCCGAATGTGTCACATCTTTTAAAGGCATCGTTTCACCCTGTATAATCGATCGTACTGGTCGTTTGTTGTGTTTGTATCCACAATATAAAGGAAAAGTAACGACTGATAAAATAAGACGCGTATCGATTTAACGATATCTGGGTAATCGGATCAACGGGTACGCATGAATTAACGTTTCAAGTGTACCTATCTCCTCGAGTGTCAATGTGCAGGCAAACAAGTTCAGTGGACTAATCATCGGTGGCTTCGTTGCATATTCAAGCTTAATTACGACTGATTAGTCGTCTCTGATTTGCAAATGAAGATTGAGTCGCAGTGCCTATACTTTCAAAGAGGAAATTATAGAAGTAAATGGAACAATGATAGGATGGACGATCGTATATCAATATTATAATAATTAATAATGAAAGGTATAATACTTTTCCATATATAACGTGGTTAAAATTCTTGCCGCTCATATCTTCGTGGTTTATGACGCTAGGGGCAAGAATCATTAGAGTATCGAATAACTTTCTGAAACTGATCAACTCTATAAAGTAGAAAAAGTACAGAACATCGATGAAATTATACTAATTACTTCCGTCCATTCAGCTTGGTATATACAATCAGAATTAGGTAAAATAAATTGAAAGTGGAAGGACTATCTGAAATCATACCACAAAGAACCAGTAACACTGCATATATCCTTGATACAGTCCTTAGGAAAATTCGGTGATCAGAAGTATTCATTGGCCTAGCTCTTGAGGTATTCGTAATCAAAACTGAATCCATGGAAAATTAGTAAAATCGAGAGATCTACAAACAAAGCTGGGATCAGTTTAGCTCCCTGGAAGATCGAATGCCCCAGTGAACACGTAGCAGAAGATTTGTCACGCGGCTCTCGAGTGTCGCCCTTGATCCTCGTGCAGGGTTGCGATAGAAATGCGACACGCTCGTCTCACGGTGAAACCAGAACGACTGTAGTTATTAGCCGCGATTGGGTCGTGATCGCACACATGAAAATCACCTGGTATCACGAGGTGTGACAAAAAAGTTTCGAGAATAATTTTGTTCCCTTCCAAGGAGCAACAATGCAAACAACCGTTAATGTATCACTTTGATGGGAACGAAAATTATTTTCAAAACACGTACCTGTCGTATACGATCGAGGAACGTGGACCTGAAACGGTCTTATTGCACTTTCTACAATGGGGACGGTGTCTATCAGAAAATCGTCGTCGTACTTTCTACAAAATGGTCCGACTGGAAATGTCCTGGCAATTGCTGGTCTCTCTTGGTCGCCTTAAAAGGAGCTTCGAGAGGATGAAGATGGCGGAGCAGCGTGCAAGATGATGGTCTCTATGGAACCGTTCTCATTGGTTCTCATAAGTGAACTGCGGTTACGTATGCATCAGTATGCATTTGCAATGCATTTGTAGTGTACTCGAGTGTATGATACGATGTGAAATGAAGACTTCAAAAATGTGTTTATTTTATTTTTGATTAAAAGTCAACTTACTAAAGCTGTTTTTGTAAGTTGACCTTTAAAATGTGTGGTGAAATACTACGTTCTGTGTATGGAATACACGAGGATACGTATAGTGTATCAGAATGTAATAATACAGGAAGTATCATGCTGCTCTCTATTTGCACAGTCTATTGCACAATTTTGTTCTTCACTGTGTAGATGATAGAAGATACAGTCCACTAATATAAGGTAACAGAAATAAGATAACAAATTTGCAACGATACGAAAACCTAATCTTCTGTGATGACATTTGGTAATGTATATAGTAACGTTTAATATAAAATTTATCAAGAAATATTAATGCACCAAGGAGACAAGCTGATTTTTGTCATAAATATATATTAATCTTCTCAATATGTCGTCGAAAATTTCTGTTG